CCTGAACCTGCAGAATCAGCCAATGCCTTGTCCTCTGCACCGGGAAACCCAGAGTACACATACACGTACCCTGAACCTGCAGAATCAGCCAATGCTTTGTCCTCTGCATCAGTGGACCCAAGTGGTTATGCACACGCAGACCAAAACACAAACACACATTCTTCTTTCGGTTATGCATATGCAGACCAAACCACACAATCTTCTTTCGGTTATGCAAACGCAGACCAAAACACAAACACACATTCTTCTTTCGGTTATGCAGACGCAAACATAAACGCAAACGCAAATGGGTCTTCTTCTCTTGATCCTGCACCTTACGGCAACACTTACCCTTTTCCCGGTCCCAACTATTCATACTATAGCAGAAACGGTTCTGGGTATGACAACGACAACGCGGACGATCTGTCTGGACAGACACAAGGATACACGTATCCTGTTCCTGGAGGTGGTTACAACTCACCATTGCCAACTTCTCCTGGTCCTGCGTCGCTTGGTCCTGCTTCTTCTGGTGCTGTCTCGCCAGGTCATGACACTGCCCCTGCCGCTGCTGCCCCTCCCTCTCGTCGCCGAGGCCGGGCAAAGAAAGCCGCAACTTCTAGGTCTGTCGCCTCTGGGTCTGTCGCTTCTGGTTCTGTCGCTTCTGGTTCTGTCGCCTCTGGTCCTGTCACCTCTGGTTCTGTCGCTGCTGGTTCTGTCGCTGCTGGTTCTGTCGCTGTCGCCGCAGCTGCCCCTCCCTCTCGTCGCCGAGGCCGGGCAAGCAATGCCGCAACTTCTGGTTCTGTCTCCTCCCGGTCTGCGTCTCCTGCTGCCAAGACCACCACTCGTCGCCGCGGCCGGGCCAAGAAAACTGAGACTTCTGCTCCTGTCTCTGCCGGTTCTGTCTCTGCGGCCCCGCCCGCCCCCACCGCCTCCGCCGCCCCTGCCGTTCCTGTCGCTCCTGCCGCTCCTGCGTCGTCTTCTTTGGGGCTCCGGCGACGGCTCCCCAGCATCCTGGACCACCCTGACCCATGGGCGTGTCCAATCTGTTTCCACTGTTGCTGCGTGCCGTCATCCGTCAAGACACACCTCCTGGACAAGCATCCGGAGCTGGGGCTCACCAAGAAGAGCCTGGAGGAGGACCCGCAGTTTGCGGAGGTGCAGCCCCTCTCCTTCTACAGGAACAAGGGGCTCGACGTCACCTATCATGGAAATGATAGGAAGCAAGTAAACGCCCGCCGTCGAATGGACGCGGGCATGAAGACCAACGACGCCGGGTACTTGGACAATGTGTACAAGCAGACCCCCTACGAGAGGAAGGCGGCGAGGCAGCCGCAGCCGTAGGGGGGGAGGAGGGGGGAGGGCGGTGCGTTGGTGGGTTGGTGGGTTGGTGGTGGTGGTGGTTGTGGTGTTGTGGGAGTGGTGGCGGTGTGCCCTGATTGGGCAGATTCGAGTTGTTAGTCTACGTGGCGATGCCACGTGACCCGTGTTAGTTTAGGCAATGCCAAGCGCGCTTCTCTCTGCATAACTCGGATCCTCTCTTTCTCTTTCAGCCTCGTATAGTACTAGTACTAGTACTCTGTACACATGGCGCCCTTCCCTCTCCTATCGAGCCAATATAGCAGATTGATACAGCGGTCTCCTGGCTCTCTTATTATACTATATTTAGGTCGACGACTTGGCTCCGTGCCTCGAACCACTTATAATTCTCCAGTCACGAGATTTAGTAAGTCTGGTGGCCGTCCGGAAGATCAACACTGGCAGGTGACGTCAAGGTACGTCGTAGGGTTGCGGTTACAGGTCTTATGGTTTTAGTACTCGCGACTCAGTCGTGCCTGTAAAAGTACTTCGTCTTATTTTTTCTTTACTATGTATTTTCTTCCTTATTTTCTTCCTTATACTACTACTAACAGTTAGATATCTAGATATATCGTATTCGACCCTCAAAGCTCCTCTTTCCAGCACTGCTAGTCGTATTGACTACAGTACATAGTACTACTAGTACTCCGCGTCACCCGATAAGGGTTCTGTTGTTTACTCTAAGAGTGATCGAGGTATGATTCTTGATCTATTATCGAACCTTGATCGATTACTAATCGATTATAGATCGAACCCTGATTGATCGCTTGGGGGAGGGCACCTTAGTAGTATATGCTCGCCAACAGTTCATCGCTTCTCGGTTTGACAAGACTCTCATCCATGCACCCATCGAACGAGCGTTTGTCGGTCTGCAACCGAGGGTCCGAAACTTCGCATTCTGAGGGTGTTGGCTGTGCAGATGGGTTATTCTGGCAAGCACGACTAAGGGTTCTCATAGTACTACTCTACTTGTTTTATATTGGCTATTTTCGTCCTTATTTTCTTCCCTCCTCTATCCTACTACTTATATGCCCACCCCCTTTAGTTTAAATCGGTATCTACACCGTATCTACACTATATCTACACCGTAAGAAAGCGACTTTAGTATCTAGAGAGTATCTAGAGAGTATATATCTATATACTAGCTTTAATCAGCTTTAGCTTTAACTACCTACCTACTAGTTTATCTCTACTAGAATTCACTAGGATACTAGGTATATAGCACCTAGTTAAGGCTACCTAGGTAGTTAGATCAAACCCGGATCAAAACTAGATTAACATTAGATTAAAGCCTAATTAAAGCCTAATTAAAGTCTGATCGAAGCTGGATCGAAGCTGGATCGAAGCCGGACCGAAACTAGTCTAAAACCGGATTGAAACCGGATTAAAACTAGGTTGAAATCTGGCTAAGATGAATTAGTATTACCTAGTAGTTCTAAATCTAGTATAAAATTAAAAGTATAAAAATATAATTAGTTTAGTATACTACTAACTAGAGTTTATTTACGGATTAATAGTAGTTTAGTGGTAAGTACTACTAGTATACCCCTACTAGGTAGTATATATAGTAGCTATAAAATTCAATTTAGGACTTTATGTTTATAGAGGGGATGCTAGAGGTCGAGGGTGTTATATAGGTATAGTACTACTAGTAGATTTCTTGAGCAATACAGTAGTAGTAGGACTATATAGTACTACCCTGCCCTCCTATAAGTGATCAAGTAGAGATCGATAGGCGATCAGGATCATAATCAATAGGTAATCTAATCAGGTAGGAATCGATCTCTACTCGATTAGACAATCACAGGCTTAAAATACTCATTTTCTCAAAGGGTGATCATATCGGTAATTATATAATCGATTACTGTACCTACTGTCTATCGATCCTTACTCAGCGATCAACACTCCTATACTAACTAGTAAAAAAAAAAGGTCGTGGGTTCAACTCGCTTAACGTCGAGTTATTATTTTTTTTTCGTGTTTTATTAATAAAGCGAGGCCTATACGCTAGACCACTATATCTTTTCTACTATATTTACTCTATATTTACTCTATATTTTCGGTATATCTAATTATATAGCCTTATTTTAGTAAAAATTAGTAAAAATTTAAAATTTTCTAAGTATAGAGTGATTTTAATCTCTATAGTGATTTAGGTATAATTCTTGATCTCTTTAATAATCTCTATATGTATATAGTGATTTAGGTGTGATCCTTGATCTCTTTAGTGATCTCTATAGTGATTTAGGTATGATCCTTGATCTCTTTACTGATTAAGGTGTGATCTCTATAGTGATCGAGGTACGATCCTTGATCTAGTATCGAACCTTGATCGAACCCTAATCGATTATAGATCGAACCCTAATTGATCGCTAGGGGGAGGGCACCTTAGTAGTAGTACCAAGTACATACATAGTATCAAAACGTACAGTAGACGTCAAGACAAGACTCTATGTCTATGCTCAACACAAGAACAAAAACACTCCAGCCATGGCCGTCGACACCATTAGCACCAATAGACTTGGATGGGTCACCTGACGGTCTGCTCCAGAAGATACACCAGTTTGAGTCGCCGTCGCCGTCGCCGTCGCTGTCGCTGTCGCTGTCGCGGCTGTGGAATGACCAGAGCCCGGTGACGGCTGAACGCCTGAGCCCGGGGTGACGGAGGCGGTGGGCGTGACAGACAGGACATCGCGGCTCACGACGGATTCATAGCCGGCCAGCACTCCACTGGCTTGAGACAGCATCTGGGACGAAAATTCCGAGGGCCACGGCGAGGCGGATTGCGCCAGGGTCGATAGGAAAGCGACGGGATTCTCGAGCAGCGAGGTTTGCGCCGCGAGGTAGATGTTGATCAGTTTGTTTTGCTGCGCCTCCAGGGTTGCCGTGTAGTAGTGGCGCGAAGAGGAGACCACCGACGCCACCACCGTCGCCAAGGCTCCGCCGAAGTCGAACGTGTCGGCCAGGCTGTAGCTGGTGTAGAAGCTGGCGCAGTCATCCTCCAGACTGTATAGCTAAACGTGTAGATATGGGCTTCTGTCAGCTTCAAGATCAAGAACAAGATCAAGTTTCGTTCGTCCAAGTACAGGGTAGTACTCTGTAGCAGTAGACATAGTCGTATAGACAAATGATACTACTTGTATCTCTGTAGGTACTCACCAGCGTGGTCTCGACTGTTGCAGCACTCACTGCAGGAGTCACCAGCGAGAAGACGCCGATCTGAGAGGCGGCGGTCTCGAACTGAGCACTGGCAAGGATGCAGAGCCACAGGAGGCTTGCGAGAAGAGGTGTTGTCTGCATATTGACAGGCCTGGAAATGTTGGAACGCTCTTTAGGGGCAGCGTAGCGTAGCGATGGATGCTGCTGATGCTGATGCTGAGCAGCTTGAACTTGATTGGAAAGTCGGGATAACGAACGGTCAAAGACGAAGGTGTACTCAAGTTCTGAATGAGTTGACCCTCGAGGGTGTTTGTTTCGATCCAAGCTCTTATACCAACCTACCGCCCCCGAATCTTCCTTCCACTGAATCCGTTCCTAGGGATCTCTGCGCCCCCGTTGTTACCTGAAACACTAGACATTAGTAGTAGTAGTCAAGACCAGCACAGCGGCAGGGCTGCACTGTGACTATGTGTGAGTACTCGCGCATGGTGATTCATCAAAATTCAACACGTTCTAGTACCTTTGTAGGTAAAGGTTGGCGGGAATCAGTGGTCATTGGACTGTCCGGGAAAGCCTCTGGGCTAGCCCTGTTGCCGTCTTTTCGGGGGCCAAAGGCTCGGCCGTCAGGGATCATATGTGTGTACTCCGTAGGGCGAGGCGGAAGGAGCCACCACCAGCAAGAGACATGCATGTTCTCGTCTCGTCCGGTGGTAATCATGTGCAGCACGCCACATACGGCACGACATGCATAGTGTATGCACATATAAGGGGAACTGGTCGAGCTTGAAAACGGCTAGGGGGCCGCGATTTCTCCTGCCTAAGGCGTACACATAAGTGACAATGGTAGAGAACAGGGGCGCTTACTAGATGCGAGTTTCTGAACCCGGCGCGTAGGCAACCAGCAAACCTCACAGGCTGCATATCGCAGCGCAGAGTACCTGCACTGTACTCCGTACGTTACACATGTACGGCATAGGTAGGGACGTATGATACGTACTGGTAATTGCATAACGTGTTGTTCGAAATCGAGAGTTGGCCTCGTATATCACATAGTATGTACTCCGTACGGAGCACAGTAGGGAAGTCTCCGTTTCCCCCCTGTAGAGGTTAGTTTCTGCCCAGCATTTACAGAGACGATATATCATCCGTACCATGTACCCCGTATGTATCCCGGAGTTGTAAGACCGGAGTATAGATTCTTCTTGTGTACCGCTTTCGGGGTCGCAGACTGCCAATAGGATGCAACGTTCTTGGCCCCCCTGGAGGGATAAGGGGCTTCAGGAGACTCCATAGACTCGGCAATCTCGCTTACCGTGCTTTCTAGCCCGTACACCCTCCCGTCCCGCGCATCCACAGCAGATTGCAGGGTTAAGTGTTCAAGATCTAACCGCTCGCTTAAATATTCGTCACGTCTCTTCCCTTAGAACGTCTCGTGGGGGCTAGTTTGGAATACGGTAGCTATGCACACCTAAGTCTTCGTGATGAGAGTGGTCGCAATGAGGTCGCATGAAAAGCAGCAGCCTACGCCCCCTGGTGCAGTGTTAGGCGAGTCCATGTCGATGTGGTAGTCTAGAGAATAGAGTCTGGAGATACAGTAGCAGCAGACGGGAATTTGAACTTGGACCAGGAGTTGTGTACTGTACGACATCCCCTGGACCCTCACGACTGTACAATCTCCGCCACAACCTTAGCCGCTGCGATGGTCTCCTCATCGCGGAAATGTTTGCCGGTCAACTGCAGCGCGATCGGTGCCCCGACAAATCGCTCTGGGACGTATTTTTTGAACTCTCGCTCATCCTGTTTGTTCCGCGGTACATACGCCTCCTCGACCTTATCGATGGTCGGGTCCTGCACGAGACCCGTTGGGAAGACCACGCAGGGCTGGTCCAGGATGTTCCAGATGGCGGTGTAGTTCCAGTACTGCGAGGTGCCGAGCTCGGGCGCGACGCCGACGAAGGTGGGACTCAAGATGTAGTCAACGCCACGGGCTTTCATCAGGGCGTGGTACGCGGCGCGGTATTTCTCGCGCTTGACGTTGTATTCCCAGTTTTCGGTGACGGTGAGAGGCTTTGGTTTGGCATAGTTGAAAGCCCACTCCGTAAGGGGGAGGACGGGCTCGCCGGATTCTGCGAGGATGGCGCGTTGGGTTTCGGCCACGTCGGGGAAGTAGAGCGTAGACTGGGTGGAGGAGGCGTCAAACCAGAGATCGCCAATGGTTACCTAGATTACCTAGATTTCGGGGAAGGCTGCGCCACTTACGACAATGTCCCAGCCCAGATCGTGCTTGAAAGGTTCCCAGTCTACCACTTTGATACCGGCGGCCTCCAGCTTCTTTTTGGCATATTGGAGGCCTCGCGTGATCGGGGGATGGGGGTGGACAATTCTGTCAGTGGATCGATGATTAATCGTCAATCCAGCTGTAGAGAGAGCTCTTCTCCGTGCACAAAAGGAAAAGGTTTCAACACATACCCATCATCCCATAGAATGCCAACAGTGAATTCCTTACCAGGCGCTACCCGTTTCCACGGCAGTGGCGCCAGACTCGTCTCGATCTCCCATGGTTCCTGGTCGATGACTGCGCGCTGGAACAACTCGAGGTCGTCGACACCCGCTGCTGCGAGAGGGCCTACCACGCAGCGAATAGATTCTTGCCCGTCTCCAGCAAGATTGATACCGTCGTAGGGCATCCGAAGTGCGGTTGGGCGGAACCCGTACGCACCGTTGAATGCCGCCGGACCCCGGATGGACCCGCCAATATCGGTACCGATTCCTAGAGGAGCGCACTTGAACCCCATAGAGGCACCCTCCCCACCGGACGAGCCGCCGGGGGACAGCTTGCGGTTGTATGGATTGACCGTCATGCCAGTGATGTTGTTGTTGCAGTCCAGATGCTGGCTTGGTTAGGCTCTGCGCAGCAGGAGAATCACAGTAGAGAGAAAATATTCCTACATACCATGAGAGACTGGGGCTCGTTCGTGCGGACGTGGAAAACGGCGCCAGCTTTCTCGAGGAGCTGGACGAGGAGAGCATCTTCCGTGGCGATATTCTTGATCCTACCGGTTTCATTAGATGGTCAGTTCATGCAGGCTCTCAAGTCCGACAGAAAATCCAATTGAACTTTACTAACCAAGCGACATATCCAGTATGACAGATACGCCCTTTGAGTCCAACGTGCTCTTTCACGCTGATGGGAATCCCGTGCTGTCAATCTTGTCAGTCTCGTGATATTGCCTCCTTTGCATTGCCAGAGCACTTACCAGTGGTCCAACGAGCTTGCCTGTCTTCTCGTAGTATGCATCAAGTTCCTTGGCTCGGGCAATTGCTTCGTCCGCCATGAACTCAGTAGCAAAGTTGAGCTGTCATGGAGAAGGTCTGGTCAGTTCCATAGTGGGTGACCACCTCAAGTTACTGCTGGAGTTGTGTATGGCTTACAAGTTGCTGTCCGATAGTGGCCCTCTTCAAGAAAGCAACCACCACCTCCTCCGCCGTCAGCTCGCCTTTCTCCATTTTAGCAACCAACGCGGTAGCCGTCATTTCCGTGATCGAGACTTCTTTCCCTGACAATATGCCACTCTGGCGGGCAAAATCGGCCACATTCAGCGTCTCGGCCGAGGGAAGCTTGTCCTCTGGAACAAGCCATTGCTTGGGGGTTGATTTTGCAAGAACCTCCTTCGACTTGTTCGCTTCGATTTCCCATGACTTGAGAGCCATGATGAGGGTTTCAGTACTTGTATCCTCTAGAGATAAGAGTGATACGGATCGAACGAGCCGTTATATGAGGGTAACTTTTCCGACCAGAGGGGGGCAGGGGTATATAAAGACAAGCGCTATTTTCCGTCTCCCATCCTGATGCAGTGGTGGGCCACTGGGGAACGATAAGGGAGGAGGGATACATAGGGAACCGATGACGATAGGGCGATAAGCTGCCATTGCCATTGAGCTATACGGAAGAACTCCTCATAAGGCTAGCACAAGTGACGAATTGATTGGGTGAAGGGCTGGTAGGTTGATCGGATGGGTGCCTAGGTCCGTGGAGAGAGAAGGTGATGAGATGGTCTCATCTTTGCGTCGACGATTTCCCCGGTACGGATACTGTACCTGTACTGGTTTAGCGTCGAAGTGTGCTATACAACAATGGTCGTCGATCATCCGGAATCAACATCGGGTGCCTCGGTCGCAAGGACAAACTGTATCCCTCGATCCTCAAGAGACGGTGCCCTCCGTCCTGAAGCCTGATAACGGAGTCTGATCAAGACTATTGAATGGCCCAACTTGCCATGAATATTTGCAGTTGGACTGGATGGCCCTTCAGCCGGAACCGCTTCAATCAGTCTTGAATCCTCAACGCTAACGTCGATTGTATTAACTTAGCCATGTGTGGGTAGTTGTGGTGCGGATATGTTTCTGATAGGCCACGCCTCGCCTCCGACAACCCACATACGATCGCAGTCCATCTCCGTCTGTTTTGAGTATACCTGCGGAGTAAGGCGTCGTGGCGGTTTGAGATGCAGGAGAACATCCTCGTCAAGATACAAGGCTGGACGGCAGCCTATGATGGCCGCTACCTCATCCGGCTCAGTCTATCCGGTCGACTCAACAGCATCTCACAGGAGACTGCGTCTGCGACTGCGACTGCTCGTAGCTTCGGTCAGCGTGGACAATTCAAGCTTGGAATCCATATACTCAAGCACTAAACAACCTGAACTTTCGCTGTGTTGTTTAGGAGTGGTATGGCTGGATATGCTTTGCGAGAGTCATGCTGTCATTCAATTTGGGCTGTCTTCGAGTGGGAAGTTCGAGAGTCTGGTAAACAGATGGAAGAACCTATAGCTCCTACAGGCACCTTCCTAAGGGAGGTAATAATGTGCTGTACGGTGGAGAGTTCGATCGGTCGAACCTACTACCGTGGAGCATCAAGACCAAGACCAAAGCCGAAATTCCAACAAGAGAGAGACACAATTCAACTATTCAACAGATCTTGTATTTGTTCAATGGTGAGCTTGAGAGTGAGTCCGACACTTTGTCCTGGTCCTACGGGCTCACGTAGTCTGCGGGCAGGTCGTACCTCGTACCTCGACGGCAACGGCAACGGCATCCTCAAAGCTTTCCACTCCCCCTCTTGAATCCCTGTTCCTTCTTGAAGTTCTTCACCAGCTGCCGAACCGCCAAATCCAGCATGACATCTTCACTGCCGCCTGGGATTCGGGCTCCCATCACATCCCGGTAGATCTTCTCCACCAGCTCACCTTGGCCGGTCCGGGTATAGCCATTTCCTCCAAATATGAGGACCGCCGTTTGCGCGCAGTCATTCAACACCATCCCAGCCTTAGCCTTCAAGAGCGCAGTTGGGCCTCCAAGCTTCTCGTCTGCCTCTTCCTTGGTCAAGTGATTGAGCTGGTATACAAATTCAAAGAGCCACGATTGGAGTGTCTCAAGGTCGCCGCCCGCCTTTGCAATGCGGTGTCTCACCACGGGCTGGTCCATCAATGTCTTCCCAAAAGCCTCTCGTTTCATTGAATATTCCACCGCAGTTGAAAGGGCCACGCGGGCCTGGCGTGTGGCGCCCATGGATATCAAGAGACGCTCGTGGTTAAAGTTCGTCATGATATACCTCATTCCTTCGCCTTCCCGCCCCACCAGATGATCGATTGGAACCGTGACATCGTCAAGCTCGATATAGCTGGTCCCGCCAGCTCGCTGGCCCATGACTTCCAACCGACGCATCTTGACACCCGGGTGATTTTTCAATGGCACGACGACCAGACTGATTCCCGACGGACCCGGGCCACCAGTCCTCACTGCCATGGTGGCAAAGTCGGACCAAACCCCGTTGGTGATCCACTTCTTCTCACCATTGATGATGAAGTGTTTGCCGTCGACTGACTTGACTGCCGTGGTTTGGATGTTGGCCACATCAGATCCAGCTTGGGGCTCCGTGATAGCAATACAAATGCGAGCGTGGCCGGGTAGAAGCTTCGGCAGGAACCTTTCCTGCAGGGCGGGAGAGCCATAGTTTAGGATCGGAGGGATCGCGTATGCGAACCCGGGAGTAAGGCTTGACCCGGGGCCTGAAATACCGGTCCGGGCTCTTTCGTCGACCCAAATGGCGGTGTGAAGGTAATCCCAGTCTTCGACAGGGACCCCCAGGATGTCATTGAGACCCAGCCGCCGCAGCCAGTGCACAGGCAGAGGCGACTTCAAGTTCGGCAGCAGCATGTTATGCTTGTTGAAGGTGTGCCAGACGTGCTCGGGAACGGTGCCTGCGGTTTCCCACTCTAGGGCGTGAGGTAGGAAATGCTCATTCATGAAGGCGCGGCATCTTCTCTGGAAGTCCAGATGCGTTGGTTTGAAGTACGGGGACGGCAGACCTCTCAAATAGCTGGGTTCTGCGAACGGGACAGGATTGATGGTGATGGTGCTAGACATGGTCACGGAGATTGTCGGTCAATAGAGCCTCGCCAACGTGAGCGACGCGACAGAGCAAGGAAGGACTGCCACAAAAGACCGCCAGCGACGCAAGGTTGGACATGAGTTTCTTGAGAGACAGAGACTCACGCCGTCCTTCGCAGGCGGCGAGATAGAGATAGCGGTGCCCGGACATACAGAGTACTCCAAGGTAGCCACGATGGCGGTTTGTTGTTGAAGCCGAGGCACGACGACGCTTCTCCGCACTCCTCAGCCTCGTCTTTGTAGCCAGTCTCAGCCTCGCATCTTCCACTTCCATAACGAGGCTGATACCGGTCGCAGGAAGTGGACAAGTTTGAGTCAGCCAAGTCAGGGCACAACAGGTGACTGATCGCAGCCCGCACCCGCACCAAGACTATGCTTCCCATATATCTCTTGGTACAGTTCTGTCCAGCTCCAGCAGAACAAGCTAAGCAACGGGAACACGCCGTCGAGCTCGAAACAATTGAAAGCTAAAGGGGTGAAACATAATCATGACGAGTAGATGAGATGTTGCTTCTTCCTCACCCTCTGACACTGTCGACTCGATCGATACTATCGCATGCCGTACCCCTGGGTGACGGCGACCCAACTTCAGCGAGAGACAAGAGACGGCGCTCGATATACAGAGGATCTATACCCGACAGCAGGACGAGTGGTGGGACAACAGCTGGATGTCCAGCCTGCCGGAGTACACAGACAGGTACGACTGACTCAGTGTCATTATCATTTCAACCCGACCGATGGCATCGTACAGCCAGTACCGACGGTCGATAAGCTCGAATTCGGTCTGCTCCGACAGGCCAAGACTTGCGCAGAAACAATCATCGGACGAGGGAGATACTGTACATGTACGTGACGGACGGTACGAAATCTCTCTCTCTTCTTACCACCTGCATGTACCTACCTCTCTGAATACTGTATTACGCTATCATTGACATACTCCGTACAGTACTCGGCACCTTAACAATACCAGGCAGGTAATACCTTATGGTATCCATTTCGGCCGAGGGAGAAGGCCGTCCGGGTCTCGGTCCCCGGTCCCCTCTTCTCTCCTCCTACGGAGTTTCCCTATCAACTTGAGCCCGCTGCCACCCGACTAGCATTATACAGCATGTTCTGTACAGTGTACACTCTACATCCACTATGCCTACCTGACCTAATCGAGCCCACCAAGCCCACTGAACTGGTACGAGACTATCGACGGGATCATCTTGGCTTCAACAATAATGCCGATGTAATCGAGATAAGCATGCAAGATGTAGCCGGTGCCGGAGCCGGAGCCGGAGCTGGAGCTTGAAAAGCTCGTGGTAGTAGTGGTGACGGTCTGCCATGATTGAAAACCACATGTATGTACCGTTCTTTGCTGTCGCTGCGCCACTCCACCACATGCCATTCTGCCATTGCCAACACTTGCATACGGACAGACAGGCAGACATACAGACAGATAGGCGGTTCGTGATCTGACAGACATAGGCAGACATACGGTATCATTGGATAACCGAGAGACAAACCCCAGGATCGATCGTCATTGCAATCCCGAACCAACCCCAATCCCGACCACATCAACATCAACACCAACACCAACATCAACACCAACACCAACACCAACACCAACACCAACATCAACATCATGCGTCTACAGCATCTTTCGCTGCTCTTCTCCGTGGCAGTGGCAGCCGCCCACACCACGGGGTCCCTGGAAAACGTCATCAGCGAGCAGTATCTGGCCATCAACGGGGTCAACTTCAGCACTCGCGCCTATTGGATGAGGCAGGCGAATGCCGCCCTAGGACAACTGGTCTCTCCGTGCCCATTTGGGGCGTTTGGCACCGTGATCGTGAACCACACGGCAGGTGGGCTGGGCGAGCTGGTTTGCATGGGCGCGAACAACATTTCATTGACCGGCAATCCCTCCATGCATGGTAAGTGCTGATCGTCAGTATCTATCTATACCGGTATCTGATCTGACCTGACCTCGTGCGGCACTGATATTGACATTGATGCTGATCTGACCTCCTATGGCACTGATATTGATACTAATACCGATACTGACACTTGTATAGGCGAGATAGCGGCCATCAAGAATTGTTCGGAAGTCTTGACCGACCCGTCGGGCCCGTACAATCTGACGGCGTCACAGGCTCAAAAAGCCTTTTCGTCCCTGTCGCTGTACACTAACGCGGAGAGCTGTCCGATGGTGAGTGGCGATTTGCCGTTACCTTACCTTGAGCCTTCCTTACCTTTGGCCTTCCTTACCTTTGACCTTCCTTACCTTTGACCTTCCTTACCTTTGACCTTCCTTACCTTTGGCCTTCCTTATCTTTGGCCTTTATAACCTTTGGCCTTTATTGCCCTTGGCCTTCCTTACCTTTGGCCTTCCTTACGTTTGACCTTACCTTCAGCCTTAGCCTTAGCCTTAGCCCTGCCCTTACCTTTAGCCTCATCTGAGGGGACAACACAACACCACATAAGCAAATTCAAGTTCAAGATCCCGTGCTGACCGCAGCGCCCCAACCCTCTAGTGCGCCTCTGCTATTCGATGGGCCGGGTTCAAGGAATACATATACGGCACGTCTATCGAGACGTTGATTGCCCAAGGCTGGGGCCAGATTCGCGTCTCGAGTGTTGACGTGTTCGCCCAGAGCTTTGACTTGCCCTACCCGGCCAGGCTGATCGGGGAGATCCTCACAAATGAGACCGACCCATACTTTCTGTGGCAGTATAACCCAACCTATCCTTGTCCGGCCGGATGTCATCGTGGGTCGTCGGGGTCTTGTACGGCAAACTGAAGGAAGCCCTTAACAGCCTGAAGGAAGCACTCAAGAGTGCTCCCTACCCCGTACTCCGTACCCAGGGTGGTTGGGACCTTAGTTGCTCACAGACATCCGCTAGCACTAGAGGCCATACACCTAAGAGGAGAAGATGAATGTAGTCAGGTGCAGGGCTGCTTGAAAAGGGGAGTGGAAGAGGCGCGGGGTTGGGGTGCTCGGGATTGGCTAGTCTGTGCACACCTATTTTCGCTGGGGTCTTCTAATCAGTGCATATAATCTAGCTATTCTGTGCACACGGTAATATTTCCTAATCTATTCTGTGCACACCACACCAAAATTTTAGTGTAAAAGTGCACTTCCTCTATAGAGATTACTACTCTGTGCACACTCAACTTAGTTATGATGGACTCGTTGTTGATAAAAGGTAGGCTCGGCGTTGTGTTGATCGAGATCTGACGCCCTCAAGGTTTATGTACTTCCTCCTATAGGGGCGCTAGACACGTTCAGGACGCGTAGGAGGTAGACGGCGCTCTCGGTCGCCGGCAAGAGACGCCGGAGGCGCAACAGGAGGCACAACGGCGAGAGTAATAGGCGCAACAGGAGGCTTAACAGAAGGCACAACAGCGCCAACAACAGCGAGGTGTACAGGGAGAGCGTAGGCGTAAGAGGCACTTTAACGAGTTAGTGCCTTTAACCGACCAATGAGAGCGCTCCTTTACGATCATGTGACTGTATAGAGCATGATTAGCGCTATGTGCACTGATTAGAAGACCCCAGCAAAAAGAGGTGTGCACAGACTAGCCGATCCCGGGGTGCTCGCTCGCCTTATATAATATCTTAGATATACCTATTAGTAAGCAACCGAGTCACGTTTTTCGCGTCGAGGCTGAGGTGAGGCGACGCGTCGCGCCGCGCATCTTCTCATTTAGAGCACAACTATAACGAGACTGCAAAAGTCCTACCAACCCTCCGCAGCCTCTGCAATGGTGGGCCTGGAGCATGCCAAATACTGCCGGCACCCTCCACGTCGACCTGAAGCCATGCCTTGCCGAGCTCCTGCGCACCTTCATCCACCCGCCAACGCTGCTCCTCCGAGTCGAGCACGTATTTGGCAAGGCGCAGGCAGGTAGCCGTAGGAACGCCAGGGTCGGCCACATCGCGAACCAGCCTCACCACGGCGATCGTCCGCTGGAATTCCGAATTCAAGCCCCTCCCGACGACAGTGACAGTGACGAGGAAGTTCGCCCTGCATGCAGTCTCCGCCTGGCACTCTCGGATGGAGTCCTGCAAATCCAAGCGGTCCTAGCCCTAGCGAAGCTGCAGCGCCAGCACACAGACCAGCTTCTGGAGTTACGACCGGGCGACCTTGTTGAAGTAGGGGCCTTTCAACTTAGAAGCGCAGCTCGACTCAACGGTCAAGGCAAGGTGATTTACCTTGGAGTACAACATTGTGCGTGGGTTGGGAGGGGTCAGATAGCCGAGCCGCCATTCGAGCCCGAATCCGCATCCGAAAGAGAGGGTGGCTTCATCCGCGAGGGCGAGGACGAGGACGCCGAGATGACGAGAAACAGACAAAAGACGGCGATGACGGGCGTGTCTGGTCTGACCCGAAGTTCCTCGAATCTCAGCACGTCGGCTAAACGAGGTGTCGAGGACGACGGTGGTGGCCGTGGTGTCTCGAAGAAAAGGTCAACAATGAACCAACGATCCAAGGGGCCGAACTCAGCGTCACACCGACGTGAAAATGCAGACGGCGACGAGTCTGAGGACGATTGGTTCGAGACGATTCCCGTGTCTCAGTCACAGGTCGAAAACCGTCGAGAAAGCCTCCGCAGGATGGAGCGTCAAGTACATATGGGGACGGCCACAAGCCCTGTTGGCGGCGTGGAAGTAGAAGGCGAGGTAGAATCGGAGGAAGCATGGTGTGGTGCATTGCCCACCTTGGACGGAAGGCGTGATGACCAACAGAAAACCAACTTCAATCAGGGTGAGGATTTCAGCGACAGCGATGCCGGCCCTGCTAGTCGTATGCTGGAACCGCAGCACCAGGATCAAGATCAAGTTCACGCCCAAGAGAAAGACCAAGATCAAGACCAAACTCAAGCCCAAGCTCAAGAGTCGACAATCATCAGACATGGTCCATCGCCTTCGTCCCTCATCTCTTCCGCTGCACCACTCCACACACTAGGCTCGCTCATCCAGCAGGCGGGTTCGACTCTGCCACAGCGCAACTACCGCTGCACCATCTTCGGCGTGATCAGCTGGGTGTCAGCCTCGATCATCCACAAGCCGAACACTCCGTATCCGCCCAAGCGGCACGTCAAAGTGCATGATGCGAGCATTTCGCATCGACAGGCGGGAGTCACGGTCGCCGTGTTCGTCGACGCCAAAACCTTCATGCCTGAGGTCGGCACTGTGGCGTTGCTCAGGGGCGTGGTGATGCAGCGATACCAAGACGACGTGATCTTGAACAAGTACGATGCCAGTTCCAGTTCCGGTTCCGGGACCCGGACAACGGAGGATGTCGATGTCGATGTCGATGTCGATGTTGACGTCGCTGACACCCAGGGCTGGTTCGTCAGCGACCCGAAGAGCTTGGTCGAGGCCGGGTTGGATGTGCAAGGCATGAAGGACTGGTGGCAGGCGAGAGTGACGAAGAAGAAGGGCTGAGAATTCTACAAGGAGAAGAAGGGTTGAGCATTCTCCAAGAAGACCCGGCGATGTCTATGCCCTCCCATACCCTTGCCCTGGTGGCCCCTTAGCCCCGTGGCGGCAAGCCAGGCGGTTCGGTGCAAGAAGAGAAACAGTGTCTGTCGCGAGGCTGATCAACGAGGGCACGCTATTCGATCCTGTTCTGTTTAGATACTTGGTCAATCAGCGGATGAACGAGGGCACGTTATGTTCGAATACTTAGTCAATTCGACCAGGACCCATCTGTCTCGATCAACCATCGTATCGTGTCATATCGTGGAATTCCATCTGTCTCGATCCGATCAACCACCGTATCGTGTCGTGTCATATCGTATCGTAGTGCTTTCCCCATCCATGCCATGCCATGCGTGCATGTCCACGACCTTCGAAGACCGAACCCTCCCACGTCCAGCCCAGCCCAGCACGATTCTTCTTACTCTTTGGCCGGTCGTTCATGGCTGACGAGTCATATCACGTACGTAAGGTAGTGACTTGAACACGTAAACTTTAACACGTAGTAGATTGAACAGGTAAGGACAGTACCACCAGGTACTAAATATAGGTATTCAATAGGTATAGGTATAGGTTCAGCCAGCCAACACCATGCTCGATTCCCGCGCCGTTCGACGGGCCAAAAATCAAAGCTCAAAATCAAAGTCGCCACTGCGACCGCGACCGCGACCATAAAGTCAGCAAAGATGAAGCGCTGGGTATCATATCATATCATTGCACATGCACATGCACGTGCACGTGCACCGGTTGACGCCGCCTCCCATTCCCAAAAAGCCCCCCGGCCGTACCGGATACCTGAAGGTCGGTCGATTAACGATTATTGTTGCTGTTATGGTTATTGGTGTTGCTATTGGTTAACCAGTCCAATAAGTTGAAGTTTGATATCAAGACTGATCAAACAACCACTCGCGGTACTGCAACTGTAACTGCAGTTGGGAAGGCTCAAGGCTCTTGTGTCTGTGTGTCTGTCTGCCTCTGTGTCCATGTGTCCGTGTGTCCGTGTGTCCGTGTGTCCGTGTGTCCGTGTGTCTGCCTGCCTGCCTGCCTGCCTGCCTGTCGTCTGCAGTTGGGAAGGCCCAAGGAAGGCTCTTGTATCTGTCTCTCTGTCGTCTTAACTCTGACTCGAGTGCCGAAACTTCTCCCTCGACTCGCCCTCGGTCCATCTGCGGTCGCGGACCAGACGCCAGAGAGCCAAGGCGGCGACGGTGAGGCCAAGGATGAACAGCGGGATCAAGTTCCAGCGCCAGGCGCGCATCAGACGGAGATGGTTGCGGATGTCGCGGCGGTCCGAGGTGTGGGCGAGCGGCAGGGCCAGCACGGCCACAAACCAGTTCTCCGGCGTCCACTTGTCGTCGGGATACATGAGCGGCTCTGGGTTGGCCGCCGCGACCGCGACGTCGATGGTCTGGTCGTCTGTCTGGGCCGTCACCACGAACGTGTAGATGAGTGCGGCGAGAGTCAGTGTGGCCGAGAGCACCGTCATGACCACCCAGAACACATAAAGCCCTGAATGGCCGTGGCGGCCGGTGGCTGCGACCTGTGGCACAGACATCATGTCTTGTCAGTCTGGGGTCTGTGGTCTGGGGTTGGAATATGTATGACCAATGCGAACGCCAATGCGAATGCCAACAAGACAGAGAAAGGATACAAACGATACCACTACCATCGACAACAAAAACACGGATTAAAAAGGGAGAGGTAGAAAGCAGAAAGCAGAAAGCAGAAAGCAGAAAGCAGAAAGCAGAAAGCAGAAAGCAGAAATCAGAAAGCCCTTTCGGGCACTATTCATACCTTGCGAGCCCTCCGCCTTTCATACCATATGGTCAAGAACCCCAAGATGCCAACCAGAATGACCGCCGTGCCTGCTGCCCCGTTGCTCGTGTGGCCTTGGTCGACGACGAGTCCGGCCGGTTTGCCGTGCAGGTTGAATGATCCCGAGGGCGCGTCGATGGTGAAGAACTTGCCCGCTCGATCGTGAAGAAAGCCGACCATGGACCCGACGAAGCCGACTTCAATGAGCCCGTCGATCATCAATATTGGTAGCGTCACGAAAAGTGCGAGGTGCGACATGGTGTCTGTCCGCGGGGCGACCTCCGCTCTCCGCTCTCCGCTCTCCGCTCAGCGTTTGTCGCTTCGATCCGATGCTGTGAGTGAGTCGCCAGACGTCCAGCAGGGTTCGTTATCTCTTGTCTCCCACGGCGTATGTACGGATAGAGGCCGCGGAATATACAACGGAATCAATAGGGGGTAATGGAATCTTCGGTAGGGAACGGACAACAATGCAGAAATGACCACGAGGCGAAAGGGTCATGTAGCCTGGGTTGGCTAATTAGGTGCTCTTTGGCGGCGGCGCGGGGACAAGTGGCTGCTTTATGTATACTCGGTCCCCAGTCCACGACCGACGAAGGAACCAAACTTCAGTCATCCAGCTGGGTGCCTAGTGGTGGCCTAAGACTGTATTCGTCTAGGTAGGTACGTTGTAGTAGTACTCCGTAGGTGGAAGAAGATTGACCCATGCTCCGTTCCCTGGATAGTATCCAACGCCATGTCCGTAGTGGGCTGGGGGCTGAACTAGAGGCTGATCGAGGTCGAAGGAGGGAACGAGATCCTTCTGAGTTGTTGTTGGTAAGCGAGAATGAGAAAAGGACGAGTCGCTGGCTTTGGCCCCAACTAGTCCGAGTCTTGGGTCTTGGATCTTGGGTGGTGGCCTGAAAAGGACCACGTATACTCGGTCATCCTCTGTACGGAGCACTATAATAGTAGTCTTTGAGATAAAAGGACTCCGGTCATCGCGAGGGTTATTTTGGAGACAAAGGAAGGTCAAACATCGCCATCGCCATCGCCATTGCCATCCAGGCCTCTGGTCAGCTTAGAGTCTGTTCCTGCAACGAGCTAGAGGATGCGAAGGATGAAGGCAAACAGATGATGCTGACCGATGCTCTGACCAGGGTCAGGGTACTTACTGTAGTACTTACACCGGTGGTACGGGGACAGGGGACCGGCGACCCAGGATCCATGCTCCGTTGGGCTCGCTGACCAGGCCTGAGAACCAGACAGACAGATAGCCAGCCAGCCACCAGAGCAGAGAGAGGTTCAAGAGGGGGAGCTTGATGAACATATGTCATTATTGTCATGGCATCATGCGGCCGTTCAAGGAGCCAACAGCCAACAGCCTCGGGCCCGCAGTCCAAGCCAGCCAGCACGTGTGGCGCCGTGATTTGGGCATGACAGGTCGCGGGTTTGGGCTACTCGTAAGGACTCAGCTCATCCTGCTGGCGACTCCTAGCGACTCGGAACTGCGATTGCAATTGCGATTGCGATTGCCTGGATCCAGGAGGATGGCAAAGGCAAAGGCTGACTGAGAAGGAGAAATGTTGCCGTCCATTTCACAGTGTTTCCGACGACACCGCTGTTGCCGGTGACAGCTCGTTTCCTGTCCTCCGTAGAAGCGGGCGATGCAAGGGTACTGTAAACTTAGCCACCCTATGATGGTACAGAGTCAGGGTACGGATACGCCATACAGAATGCCGGGGACAGGGGACAGCACACCACAGCCTACTGTAAGCAAGCCACCTCGGTCCTTGAATCCTCTAGGGCTTATTAGGGGGCTCAGTGCTAGAGCTGAGCGATGTGGCTCAGGTAAGGCTAGTGCTGACTGCTGAGGGCTTAGGCGGTGATCAATAATGTTGAAGTTGAACGCTATACAGATACTCCGTGCATGGCGTGGCCACATCCGATGGATCCATCCTCGTATGTGGCTGGTCTTCTCGAATCTCGATCTGTTCCAATATTAATTAATTAATGAGCGCCTGTTCCAACGAGGCTGTTGAGTGGTACGCCTACTCCGGACTCCAGCTCCATACTCCGTACTGCTCATCTCATCCTTGCTGGCGAGCCTGAGCCCACAAAAGCAATCCAACCACAGCTGCTCCTGTTGGCCGGGATTCAATGTCAGAAACAACACACAGGAGGGGATGATGATGATGATGATGATGATGATGGGAGCGGTTTGCCCATCCTCTTCTAATCATTGTCATGCCAAAATGCATCCAACTACCTAGGTGCCCGGCTAGCGAGCTACCCTCCTCGTAAATTTATCCTCGCTATGCTCATTTGACCGCGAGCCCAACTCGCATGTATGCCCTGCCTCAAAACATCCGTGGTCGTCTCCATGCCTCTGTGAATATGACCTGAACACCAATCATTTGTATGTAACCCGGGCCCGTCGAGGCCGATGCCAATGCCAGATGCAACACCTCTTCGAGTCCAGCCTTAATAACTCCGTCTAGGGTCCGACACGCGTGGTCTTTTCTGCCGCTCCGAATCCTGCACCACAAGCCACTGTAAGATGCTCTCATAACAAAGGACAAATTGCCGTAGATTTTGCACCATGCTGAGTCGCTGATGTCGAAAGTCGTCGACTGTCTTGGCCACCAAATCAACATCATCTCTAGACACCCAATCTCCACTGTCAACCTCCATTCCGTGCGGGCCATCTTCGTGGGATAGCCTTTGTCGTTTCAGCATGTCGATGACCGAGTCAATCGTGCAGAAAGTCCCCGTCCGGCCACAACCGGCACTGCAGTGCACCAGAATGGGTCGCGAGTCCCGAGGAGCGGCCTCGTCGGGGCCGATCACACTCGCTGGACTGGACGATCCTCGCACGTACTTGTTGACTTGCTCAACCAATCCCAGAAGCTCCGCGGGACTGGCCGGCGCGCCAAAGTCGGGCCAGTCTGTGTATTGGATCTGGGTAATTTCCCGCATGGGCTCGAACGGATATGCAGCATGACTGAGGCTAAAGTGCCGCACCGTAGCAGACGGCAATTTGGACGAAGGAGGCTTCATCTCCTCGGCCTCCTCCGTCCCTTCTCCCGCGATATTGGCGGTCGTGGATCTCCTCGGCCCCAGCGGAGGTCGAGTTGACGTAGGAGCTTTGTTCAAGTATTTCTTCGAGTCTAGACTGACCTGCCGCTCCGAGAGCTGCTTGAGCTTCAACGGCCCGTACTCACCGGCCCCCCAATACACGTGACTCTTGACCTGTCCGCCTTCGGCTTCGGCGGTCAACATGACAATGACGCGGACGTCCTGTTCCCAGACCACACGCCAGAAGTCAACGAACGTCGCAGGGATGGGCGCTTGTGTCGCAATGTAATGGCGATTGGAGAATTCGGCCTTGACATGGTTGGCATTGATATAGTCGCAGCTCCCGTTCGGCACATTCTGTAACCGCACCCGGGTATGATCGTATGGAAAGATGTTGTTGTACCGGTTTTTCGACCCTTTCTCAATCCCGGCAACCTGGATCTTCTCCGGCCCTTCGCTTCGCGGAGTGCCGTACGAGACCTTGCAGCTGAGCGCCTCCTGCATTCGCTCCTGCTCCGATCTTTCGATGTGCAAGAATTGGTCCGACACCAACTTGCCCGCATCCGACCTGGAAGATGCCCGTTGCAGCCATTGCGGCAGGGAATGTTCTGTCTCTGAGGACATGTTTGCGGGCTTCTTGATGGGCATCTGTCCCACCCCGTCCAGCAGGTCCATATTCTGGCGGATATTTCCAAAGAAGGGATTCGCCGCCGACTTTTCCGTGGGCATGGCGCAGCCTCCAGCGACCGGAAGAGCGTCTTTGACGGCAGCAGAAATAGACAGCAGCTGGGCGGATGCTGCCTTCCCCGAATGGGGCGGCCCCGAGTCAACCAAGTCCGGGGCTAATCTTTGAAATGCAAGAAGCCCTCCCTTGATCACCAGACCCGTCCCGACCCAGCCTTCTGTGACGAACTTCTTAAGGACGGTCAGAGGAGTCACGGCCTCCTTTGTGACACTCGAATTGGCGTCGTAGACGATGATGTGAGTACACTCTCGCCACTTGGCAAAGGTGTCTTGGTCATCGGGCAAGGAGAAGGTCTCCGCGAGTCTTTGCACGTTGTATGCTGGTCTCTTCAACAATGTGGTCGGAATACACAGATTCAGAGCGCCCCGAATTCTTGCTGTAGCATACTGCTGGTAGACTCTGAGGTCGAGAATGAGAACACCTTTCGCATTGTGTCTGATGAGCTCTGCAACACGCACGGGCGAAACGATCGAAGGCGCATCTTGCTCGCTCGACGACGGCAACGTTTCAGACCGTGCGGTTTGTCTGGTGGTTTGGAGGGGTGGCGTCCGCAGGTCACTGCCAGGTAATGAGAGCCGTGCATGTTGATGGTCTGCTATGCTGGGTTGCGAGCCGATCCGCGCGGGTGATTGCTGTCTTGGAATGTCCAAAAAGGAAACATCGGTCATCCGAGTATCTTGTGTGCTAGCACTTTCCTTTCTCGACCTTTCTTCGGCTTTGGGCTGGGTGGAAAACGGGGACCCGGCGCTTGCGGCGGGCGGGGTTGTGGAGGAAGTCGTCCTTGACTGTGACGGTCGGCCGAACGACGTGTTCAGGGTGAAACGATGATTGTGTTCTGATTGCTTCCGAAAGGCCTCGAAGTCTGGATTAGCCTCGACGGGCACGTGTCGAGGTGTCGGCACGTGGTTCTGTGCCGTGGAATGGGGGAATGTCCAGTTTTGACGGGCATGAGCACCGGGATTCGAGTCTGGAGGGATTGTATCATCGCCACCAACGACGAACCCAAAATAACTTGGACTGGGGCTCTTGGGGTCTTTGGGCGGTTGAGGGACCCGAGAGTTGGGGGAGAGGAGAGGCGGCATAGGCTGACCAACCGATGCGGCGGCCGGATGAGCGCGTGGAGTTGTGGAAGGCCGTGAGGATCGAGAATAGGAGTGTGTGTGCGTGTGGGATTTGTGTTGGTGTGGATGGGGTGGCTTCAACGCCGCTGTCGCTGTCGCGGCAGCCGACATGACGGGGGAGGCCACCAGGCCCGTAGCTGGAGGGGAGGTCGCCGTGACTCTGAAGCAGGCCAACAACCGGCTGGGATGGGGATTGCGCTGGTAAAGTCGGGCTGGTCGTCGTTGTACTGTTGCAGTTGTGATCAAGTCGAGTGCGCAGAGACTATAGCAAGCTCGCAGGCGGACCAGTGGAAGGTAGTGTACAAGGGAAAAGGTCAGTTCGTCGGGAAGCTTGAATAGGCTACGTCATTGCGGTCTAGACTGCGCACGCGACAAGGTGCACAGAATGGTGGATTGTGGCCTCATTTGTCTGCTGTAACACAAAGAGAGATTGTGTAAGGGACGGATTGTGTTCAGTTTCGTTGTTGGTGTCAAAGGATTTGGCTGAGAAAAATGAGGGTGAGGCAGAGTGTATCTACCTAATTATTAATGGATGAAAAGCCAAAGTTCAGGTTACGGGAGTAGGCGAGGGAGAGGCGTTCTACAGGCGGCATACCTAAGGTACCTTAGCCAGTAGGTCCTCCGTACCTAAGACACCTGCGGCCTGCGACCTACGTACCTACAGCATGGCTATTACCTGGTACCTAACCAAGGGCAATCACGTAATTACTTCGTCCTGCTGGTGCCTCCATCTGGCATCTGGACACCTACAGAGAAGCTGGGTGGAGGGGGCGCCCCCTACTGCCAACGCCCGAAGTACTACGGAGCACTAGTATCTCCAGAGAAGAAATTGGCGCATCAGAATGACGTCGATGGGAGGGGCCAGGGTAATTGGTGTCGGCATGTTCCCTGACAATCATTGAATTAGGCATAGCCTATAGGTAGGCTCTAACGGGTGGTGGCAACGTGCCACTGGCCCATCTTACCTTAGGTAGGCAACCGCACTTAAGGCACCTAAGACACTGCGTTGTACCTAAGTTGGCCCCCCCAGTTCTTAGATTCAGGGTCTCTTGGTTAAGGGTCTCCGGCTCTCAGGGTCCTGATCTGTCTTGCCAGCGCCTGGAACGTTCGAACGCCTGCAGTACAAGTATTCTGTCCCGTGATACTGTTGACCACCGTAGCAGGTCATTTGCGACCCGGTTGGTTTTCTCGCTTTGCGCTATACAGAGTGACATATAGGACTGGAAGGGAAAAATAGGGTTCAAGCATGGAACCTGGTACACGGGCAAACTAGATCTCGTCTCTGTGCAGGAAAAAGTCCCCCTGAGAGGACTGACTGTATGTATCCGTATGCCGTACGCCAACTCCCTCTACTACTGAGTCTACTCTGTATTATTGTCAAGCACCAAGCGACCACGCGACGAGGCGACGCCAGAACATCATGCCACTCGCCTCCTTATGCTCGGGCGGCTGTCAGCCCAAGCGAGTGGAACTAGAGAAGCATGGAGCATAGCCAAACCTCGCTTACACCGCTCGCCATCCACCATCCACCACCTCCAATAATAATTGCGCTGTGCTCCTGACCCGCTTGAGAAGACATCATCCTCCCGGCCTCATCCCTCAACGGACCACAATGGCACTATCTCCGCCCTCTCAAATCTTGGGACCAGAACAACGAGGTGTCTAGACAGATGGCTGATCGACAGGTGCAGGTGTATGGAGAATTGTGTTCACGCCCAACCAGTAGACCTGAGATGACAGAATCTCATAACCAAAGAGGCAGAGGCTCAGAAAGGTTGGCCAGGGCGCCGCTGTCATGACTCAACCATAGCAGTCTTACATGTAATTGATTATAGGTATAGTAGTGGCGAGACTCTTCCATTTTGTTGCCCAGTGCTTTATTTCATATCCCACTTCAGAGACAAAGCCCGAGATATTGCCCATTCTGACCCATGCAAGTTCCCTCGAATTCATTGTTCGTCCGCCTGGAAGCTCCTTGTTGCGGGCGTCTTTCAGTCCCTTCAGGACCCTGCAGTTGCGTCATCAGCCATCCATTCTCAGCACCACCAATGGAGGCTGGACTCTCGTTGCATGCACGTCCGCCGTCCACTGTCCGCCGTCCGCCACCCAACATGATTAGCTCCAAGCCTGGCGCTATGTTATGTATTTCGTGTGCACGCCTGTGGCAGCTGCAGGCGTCGTGGTTGACAGAGCAAACATTCTCCTTTTTACTGACAAATGCCTGGTCCTATTCGCTCCAGAACACTCCACCCCGGCATAACCAGTCGTGGATCCTCAAACCAGTAGCTACTACCCGACTCTTGTCTTCAGCTGCTGAGATCAAACGCCCCCTGACCCGTGTAACATGGTGTAACATGTGCCGTTCCACCATGCTAGATTATGCTCAACAGCTTGAGAGTATCCGACTTTGGTAACGTGATAATCTCCCACACGAGGACCGCAGGTGTTCTGGCATCCCAGCGTCGATTGAGGCCCCGATATTGATACCGTCGTATCAAATATCGGCTGCTTTTCCTGTATAGTATTCGGTGTTCGCCGGCGGCTCGACAGTGCTGTCGAAAATTGCTCCTGAGGTTTCCATCTCGTGTAGATTAAACCCAGGGGTTTCAGTGTGCTGTTAAAGACCGAATTCGCAACAACACCTTATAGCCTGCCATCAGGCTCACCCTTCCACCGCTCCACTCGCTTTTGCTCCCAGTTGTCCAAGTCCTTAGCCATGAGCTTGTAGTATTCGTCTCGCTCGCTCAGCTCTCCCTTCAGAACTTTCCTGCGCCGAGGATTGTATGTGAGATTCCCTTCACCCATAATCCCACCTTTTAATCCAAGTTCCATTTTTTCTTGATCCGTCAACTGTCGATGCTTGCGGTCGTGCTTCTCGTACCTTAAGGCAGCGGCTGGAGTGAGCAAGAAGGATGCCCCAACTATAAGAGTCATGAAGGGCAGTCCGAAGAAGAGGAAAGGATTCTTTGCGATTTTCTGACGATAAAGCACGGCTACTCGTTCCCAGAGGTCCTGTGCCTGGGCGCGGGTGCCCCGGAACGGTTTCGACTGGAAAATAGGCATTGCCAGGAGCTCATGCTCTGTGCTTGCGTCGTAGGGGCGGACGATGCTGTAAAACTTGGACCAAGTTGCGAGAAACGGTAATAGGGAAGTTCGTCAAGTTCAAGTCTGATTGTCCAGGGTGGTCACAAATCAAGTTGCAGGATCAATGGTAAGGTGCCTGTAAGAGGGAGTTAAAGCGGCGTAGTATATCGCCAAGACTGGTCCCAAGCAACGCGGTCCCAGAAATTGTTAAGACGCGACATATTACTAGTACAGGTATTGACAACACTTACGGACGACGAGAGCAGTCTTGTGTAGGAGGGTCAAGACCCTGACGATACGAGATGTCGCTCTTTGGCCAACCCCCCTCTGGTCAAGGAAGTTCCTCCGGCCCTTTCTTAGGCTTGAACCTCAACACCAACACCGACGCACAGGGCAAACGAAAGTCCATCTTCGATAGTTCCACAGCTCAACAGACGACGTCCACGGCCTTTCCAGCACTGAACACGGCGAGCTCATCGGGCTCAGTCTTCAATCTGGGTGGCGCTCCAAAACCCTCTGCCCCTACCTTCTCTTTTGGAACCTCCACTGTCGCCTCTGCCCCCTCTGCCACTTCTGGCCCCTCGACAGGCCTCTTCGGAGCCACAACATCGGCCTCACAGCAGCCCATTTCGACAACGTCCCCCTTCGGCGCTCCCGCTGCACAACCTCTAGGGGGTAATAGCTCTACGTTTGGGACTACGCTTTCTGGTACCACTGCGGTTTCGGCAGAGACGCCGCAGACAGATGCAGCTCCTTCGCAGACCAGGGATGCTGCCTATTTTAGCAGTCTGCTCGAGAGGCAGAAGAAAAAGCCCAGACTGAAATCCGAAAACAATGGTCGTCTGGCCCAATTGCCCGGCCTCAATCTTGATCTGGGGGATGTCGCTCGACGTGCGCAAGAGATCAGACAACGAGGAGCAAAGCCCGCGGAGATTCACAATGACAGCCGAGCACATTATCTGCTCGCGGGTTCTGGTATTGCCCCTGGACAGGCGTACAAAGACTTTCAGGCTCTGGGGCCAGATGATCGCGCTGGGATCTCGCGAACTGCTGCAGATAGCTTTGCCGACGAGTCCAGTGCTTACTTGAGAGACCTACGTACCAAGGGTCGCGAAGCCATGATGAGAGAGGGCATAGATCGGGTCTATCGAGAAGTTGATCAAATTATCGAGGAGAGCCTGGGGGTCGACTTTGAGGAGCAGAAGTTGAGGATCATGGCACACTTTGGATTGGTGCCTCCTGGAGAGGACGGAGGTGAGGATGCCCGAACACCGTTTGGTAGATCCACAACGCGAGGCAATGCAGGCCCGTCCACCACGACGCCTCGGGGGACCAGAAGTGTGTTCGGTCGTTCGGCAATCGAGAAGTCTATTATCGGCACTCCGGGGGCAGGCGCCGGGTCATCATCCTTCTTTAAGAAGGAAGGTGCGGCTCCCGTATCATCTGCTTTTTCAAGAGGCCAGAACTCACGAGACCTCCGCGAGAAGGAAAAGGCACTGATCGAAAAGGTTGAAGAACTTAATAGAGCCCGACTACAAGGTATCTCATTCCCACTTCTGCAGATTTTTGCCGAAGCAGAAGAGGGGCACATTGGCGATAGTCCTCGACAACTGATCGAGGCTTACCAGGCCCTTCGCGAGATCACCAGAGAAGGCAGATCTCCTGTTAGAGAAAGACAATACACGCAGGCGTACCTGGATGAGTCCAACGGCACCGAAGCCATGAGATTCAAGAAGCAAATGTTGGAAGGCTCCCGAACTTACTTGGAGAAGTCTTTCTGGCGTGAACTGAGGTCACTCATCGAGAAGAATGCACGAGAGGCGGCACTGGGTGGACAGCCGAGCGTCGTCAATATTGTTCGTGCGTACATTCGCTTGCGTGCCGTCCGGCGGGATTTGGTGCCAGATGGTACCGAGTTACAACAGGATAAAGACGAGAAAGGTGATTACCTTTGGGCTGTGATCTTCTACCTCTTGAGATGTGGATTCGTCAAAGAAGCCGCCGACTACGTCAACAGCACTCCCTCTTTTCAATCTACAGACCGAAAATTTGGTTCGTACGTTCTGGCCTATGCAAACAGTCCAGACCGACGCCTGGGTCGGAAGCTGCAAGAGATGATCGACAATGAATACGCGAAAATGACCAAAGTGGCTCAAAAGAGTGCAGTCGACCCTTATAAGATTGCTTGCTACAAGGTAGTGGGACGATGTGACCTGAACGCCCGAAATCTGGAGGCGGTCGGCCAAGGAGTGGAAGACTGGTTGTGGCTTCAATTTACGCTGGCCCGAGAGACGGAAAGACTGGAGGAAATCTCGGGGGAGATTTTCGGTCTCGATCAGATCCGGGAGACGGTCTCGGAAATTGGGGAGAAGCATTTCCAAAAGAACCAGATCGAAGGCTCCAGTGCCTATGGCACGTTTCTGTTGATGCAAGTCCTCGCCGGGATGTTTGAACAAGCGGTTGACTACCTACACAACTTCAATCCCGTGAGCGCCGTGCATCTCGCGATTGCCCTGGCATACTATGGCCTATTGAGGGTTTCTGACTTCACAGTCGCTGGCAACGAGCTTTGTAAGTGGTTATCGCCCCGGCATGTTTCAGTCATACTAACAAATTTACGCAGTGACTTACTCAACCACGCAGTTGCCAATGATCAACTTTGTGCCGCTGGTTGCCCATTACACGGCTACCTTCAGATCAGCCCTCACAGTAGCGTCTGTGGACTATCTATCTCTGATCTGCTTGAACTCCGACCTAGAGCCGGCCAGCCTGGGTCTGGTCCACACGAATGCCTGCCACGAGTGTCTCCGGGAGCTGTGTCTTGAGACCCGCGAATTCGCCAAACTCCTCGGAGACATCCGTAGCGACGGGACTCGGATAGCAGGGGCCATTGAAGTTCGAGCGAGCTTGATCAAGCTCGACAACCGAGAAGAGTTCCTGAAATCTATCACAGGCCAGTCGGCCGCTGTTGCAGACCAGCGTGGACAAATCGCGGATGCGGTACTGCTATATCATCTGTGTGAGGACTACGACAACGTCGTCAGTGTGCTCAACCGAGCGCTCGCCGATGCTGTGACTTTGGACCTGGGAGAGTCGCCCATGCAACTCCAACCTCTCAAGCCTCGACGACTGGATGGTCAGAGTGGATCATCCGCCTCCAGCCAGGGTGCCGGCCCTCAGTCGTCCTTGTCGCTGACACAGTCAACAACCTCACCGATTGAGTTGGCCAGAAACATGATCTCGTTGTACAATAGCAACGCCGCGTACTACAATGTGATTTCGTCCAGCAACCGGGAAGTCTGTGGTGCTCTGCTTCGCCTGCTGTCGGTGCGATCACACCTAGAAGCCAACCCACCTCAATTCATGGTTGCCCTGGAAGAACTGAACGACCTCAACATCCTCCCACTGCGAGCTAACGGAGCCATTCCCGTGATCCGCGCGGCCGCCACGGCCTTTGGAACGCTCCCACAGATTTTGGCTCGTTGTGCCGGCATCAGTGTTGTCTGGGCTGTCCGAGCAATTGGAGGAGAACGAGACAAGATAATGAGGACCGGAAGATGGGAAGCAGGGAATGGGGGAGAAGCCGATGGCGTGAAGGATCAACTAAGTGACATGGCCAAGGACCTGATGGTTTTTGCCGGACTGGTGAAATACAAGCTGCCCAGCCGCGTGTATGACATGTTGACACGGGCTGGGGGCGAGGTCGGAGTCTTTTAAGGGGTGATCGGACAAGACACGACCCAAAAGTGGAATTCGAGGGAACAGAGCCGCAACACTGCCTAGGTAATGAGATACGAGTACGTTTTATTGGCATGCTAGGGGTGTGGTTGTGGTGGTGTTGGCTTTTGGTGTCTGATCCTCTGGGGTCGCCGAGGCAGCCTTAGGACCCGGGGTGGGCACAAGGACACCCAGGATCCATCCACTTGATCGGGCAGCAGCACGAACAACGAAACTGCCACGACAAAACAGAGGAATTAGTCTACATAATGACAATAGCCTCAAGGTGGTGGCTGCGGGTCTGCAACTGCAAAAAAAGCCGTGTTCCCTGGCGTGGCCAGATGTGATAGGACTGGCGGTGGCTGGTAGGAGGGAGGGCTAAGGCGCCGTCACAGGGTCACATGTACAGTACTGGCGATAATCTTATCAATCTGATCAGCTAATGATAACCGTTGGTTGCTCGAATCGTGGCCCTAAGCCTCCCACTCACCACTACTGCACACCGACACTAACACTACGAAACAGTCCCCCCTTTCTGCGCCCACCACGCCCATTCCTTCCGGTGACGCATCCTCGTTACGCTCCATGCCTGGGTCAGGCTATGCTCCCAGGTTTTGCTCAGGCTACATCCCACTCTGACTCCGAGTCCACCGACATTGGCCTGGAGCTCTCTCACCTTGCATCCTCCTCAACACGCTCCGTCACAGTACAAGATGATACTGGACTGTTGGACGCGGACCCCGAGACCAGTCCGGGTGCCTCTTTACATGGTCGCAGAGCTACTGAGTCGTCTCTCGCCCCCCCAATAACCCTTCCACAACCACACCGGCCAAGTCGTTCCATTGCTTCGCGCGTCTGGGGTTTCATCATGTCGCGGCATCCACTCTTGCTCATGCGCTCGTCTCCCGCGCTGGGGACCGGTTCCTATGGCACTGTGCCGATGGTCAACTCTGGCTCCGCGTCCGAGCCGAGCTCCGAAGACGAAGACGAGGTGAGGAGTCAACGGAGAAGTTACAAGAGTCGCGGGAAGAGAGTACAATCTGCGCATAATCTCCGTGGTGATCACGGCCAGTCCTCAGATCCTCGGCGGCGGTACCGCAGTACGGAATGGCTGCGCCGAAGGTCGTCTTCTGCGGCCAGTGACATTGGAATGGGGCTCGATTCGAAGACCTCGTTCGCCGTCAATCCGGCCATTGCCGAGCACAAGGCCGAGTCTTCCAACGCGAGCACACGAACGGGAAGCGGGGATGAGATCGAGGACGAGTATATTCCCACAGAGGATGATCCCCCAGATAACTCTCCTTATCCTGAGGTTCGAGCTTCAGTGCCGGCAACTGATAATACCTCGTTATCTATCAACACGCCTCGCATGTGGACGCTGTCCTTGCTTTTTGCAATAGCAGGGTCGGCAACGAATCTTTTCTTCTCACTAAGATACCCCAGCGTCGCCATAACACCCGTCATTGCTCTGGTGCTGGTTCATCCCTTGGGCAAACTATGGGATCTTGCGTTCAAGAGACGAGGCGATTCAGAACGCATGTTTGTCGAGGGTACGCGCCAACCGGATGAACACCAACACCTGCACACACGGACAGAAAAACTGCGTCTATGGCTGGCCCAAGGTCGGTGGAACGAAAAGGAGCACGCCTGTGTGTACATCAGTAGTAATGTATCGTTCGGCTTTGCCTTTGCCACTGATATCATTGTCGAGCAACACAAGTTTTACAAACAGACCGTTCCGATCCTATATCAGCTCCTGCTCACTATCTCGACCCAGATTCTGGGTTACGCCTTTGCCGGGCTGACAAGACGCTATCTGGTCCGCCCGGCAGCAATGATATGGCCTGGCACCCTCATGTCAACCGCAATGTTTACCACAATGCACAAGGATGAAAACAAAGCCGCCAACGGATGGACGATTTCACGATACCGATTTTTCATCTACGTTTGGGCCGCCGCATTTGCATGGTATTTCGTTCCTGGACTGCTGGCCCCGGCATTGAGTTATTTCAACGTCGTCACCTGGTTTGCGCCGAAGAATGTCGTCATTTCCAACCTGGTAAGCAATCGCCGCCTTCGTGCCAGCTCGAGCTCTAACTGGTATAGTTTGGGGTTGCCTCGGGATTGGGACTTTTTCCCGTGACATTCGACTGGGCGCAAATTGCCTATATTGGCTCACCTCTATTGACACCATGGTGGGCCGCCGCGAATGTTGTTGGTGGCCTTGTCCTGGTGATGTGGATTATTGCGCCTATCCTGTGTATGTGGCGGACCGGAGCGAATACGTGCATTCTCGTGCTGATTCTTCTGCAGACTACAAGAACGTCCTCTTCTCGGGATATCTTCCCATCTTGTCTTCGGCGGTTTTTGACAACACGGGCAAGCCATATGATGTCAGCAAAATTCTGACGCCAGAGTTTTTGTTCAACAAGGAAGCCTACGACAATTATTCCAAAGTCTACCTGCCCATCACTTATGTTCTGTCGTATGGAGTACAATTTGCGGCGCTTGCGGCATTGATCAGTCATACAACATGCTGGCATGGCCGGGATATCTGGCGACAGTCTAAGCAAGCTTTTAATGAAAGACAAGAGAAGCCCGCGGTTGGATATGAGACCGTCCCGACTTCGGATGACAATTACAGTCGTCGCCGAATTGATAGCTTGACTGTGGTCGCCAGCGGTGAAGATGTTCACAACCGCTTGATGAGGAGGTATGAGGATGTGCCAATGTGGTGGTATGCCGGCACCTTTGTCACCATGTTGGCGGTCGGGATCTTCGTGGTCGAATATTACCCAGTGCATCTGCCATGGTACGGCCTTTTGACGGCCCTGGGGATTACCACGGTCCTCTTCATACCCGTTGGGATCGTCATGGCTATCACAAATCAACACAGCAGCCTATACCTGATCTGTCAGCTCATATGTGGTGTCATGTTTCCCGGCCGACCAGTGGCCAATATGGTTTTCGTCACCTACTGCTACATCAGTTCAGCTCAAGGGATCAAATTCTCGTCCGACCTAAAACTGGGTCATTACATGAAAATCCCCCCCAAATTGCTGTTCAAGGTGCAGATGGTCGCCACCCTAGTTTCCAGCTTGGTCCAGATTGGCGTTCTCAATTGGATGTTCGTCAACATCCCAGGCATTTGCACGCCCGAGGCGATCAACGGGTTCAATTGCCCCATCGCTCGAGTTCACTTCAACGGCAGCATTCTCTGGGGCGTGGTCGGACCACAACGGTTCTTCGGGCCGGGAGCACTTTATCGACACTTGGTCTGGGCGTTCTTGCTCGGCTTCATCGCGCCCATCCTGATATGGGTCATGGGGCGAGGCCAAAAGAAGACGGTCTGGAGGAAAGTCAACCTCCCCGTTCTCTTTGGGAGTCTGAGCTGGATTCCTCCAGCCACCGGTCTGAACTTCTCCGTCTGGGCAGTGGTCTGCTTCGCGTTCAACCACCTGGTGAAGAGACGGGCATCGGCGTGGTGGGGCAAATACACCATGACCATGTCGGCCGCTTTAGACTCGGGGCTGGCCTTCTCGCTCGTGGTCGTCTTTTTTGGCTTTGTATATCCCGGCTGGATGGACAACTTCAGATGGTGGGGCACGGAGATCTACAAGCAGGGCTGCGACTGGCGGGCATGTCCATGGCTCAGTCTCCAACCTGGCGAGAAGTTTGACCAGTGAGGTCGACGGCGGGGCTTTAGAGCTTGAGATCGGTTTTTGAATAGAGCATCCACTCACGATAGGAAAGAAATGAGCATGATGAGATACGGAGTTTGGGCGATTACCGGCGTCATCACCTCGGTATGGTGGACTTTTTAGGCCACAGCCTGGTGGATTTACACGCTTCTTTCTGAACACACGTATCCTGATCCTGATCGGAAGGTGACATTGGTTCTCTGTCAGCGCAGATACATGTGTATATATACATACAGAGAGTATATATACTAGTATACCAAATGTAGATACCTTATCTATATCACCCGGGCCGGGGCGGGCTTAGGAGGCTGTCGTGCTTACCTTGTTGTATGAGGGCGCCAAGCCTTAAGTCCCGTCCCGGGACGGAATCTTAACCTTAACATGTCTCCAACTTCAACCTCATCACCCTGCAACTCTCAGCTCCTGTAGCTTCAGGCGCCACATCTCATGAGGCCGTACTCATAGGTGAGCGCTTTTCCCGGGTTGGCTTTCCTTTATCCTCGGGGAGTAGAGTCGATGCGGGCCCACGCCAGGTCACCAGCAGAGGCCGGCTTGCGAGTAAGTCGCATCGCCTGTCACTTACTTCACATGGCCGTCGTCTAGCCTTGGACACTTGCTCGCGGGACCGTAAGTCGGCAATATCCATGGCTTGTCCCCGCCCGTTGCACTACTGTCCCAAAAACCCCTTCACTTTCTCAATTCCAAGAGGAGGGCGGAAGCGTCCTGGATGGTGCTCTTTAGAATTAGGAAAGCATCTAACCTAGCGAGCAGCATTGCGCTGCCGAGGTACTCTGTATCTTCACCATTCACTCCGAACCCTCGACATGTCTGCGGCCGTACAGGCAGCTGGCTCCGAGCCCGTCGCCTTTTTGTCGCTTCCGCCTGAGATCCTCCAGCAGATATTTCTCTCCTCAACCACGCCGAGCTTCTTCCAACTCATCCAGGTCAATAGTAAACTGTTTACCCTTGCATCTCAAAGCAGGCAGGTCCTTCTGTACCACTTAGGCCAAGTTCCTGGGCCCAAGCTTGGACTTGACTCGCTCTTAATTCCCCCATACGACCTGTTCCTGATCTTTCGCCAGCGCGCCGCAGCGCACCTTTTCGGCGCGAACTTGAGGGCAGATTGCCGCAATCTTAGATTTGCCAACCGTGGAGGTTTGCAGTCTCGAGCGTCCTGTATTGCACAGGGGTCGGATGGATGGAGCGAATTTTCACTGGTTCTCAAGAACAGTCTTAGCGTCCGCTTGTATAGCCATATGGGACAAGCTTGCGACCGGATCGAATCACCATATGCCGATGGTCAAGCAAAGATTGTCCAGGTCACGTATCAGGGGTCCAACATTTCAGTCTTGTACGCATGGACACCGCCTGAGCAAGATCCAGCCGACGCTCTGACAACTCAGAAGCCCACTTTGAAAAGAACCCCCAGCCAAATTCTAGGAGGCGAATGTGTCGATCACGACCAAGTCGATGATTCTGTGCCCGGTTATGTTCGCTATCATCTCCTCCACTACAACGTGCACACCAACGACCCGCCTGTCTTCTTTACCATCCCAACGCACAGATCTCTCCGTGACAGGATCCTAGTCCCCGTTCACTTGGCTGTCTACAACCGTTTCCTATGTGCGATACTATGGGACCTTCCCGATAGCATTGCCCCTAGCGCTCATGCTAGTGTCCTTCTGTATAACACAGAGTGCCTCCCACGAAATCAGCCTGGGACATATCACGCAACTGTCGTATACCCTTTCGACCACGATGCTATGTGGAAGGAGGATGCTGGCGATCTCGTGAACGACAGCACCGGAGAAAGACTATACACTCGTACGCGGCCGCACGATGCCCGGCGTGACCGTGACTTACGATCGGTACATCTTGGGTTACGACCACGCTCCATCGCCTTTTTCAGAGAAGGCGGCTGCCTATTTCTCTACGCTCCGGGCTCCGTTACTCCATACACGGCGTTGCTGGCGAACGACTCGATCCGCCGCGAACTACGGCGTCGGCATGATATTGTATACTGGCCGCATCGATCTTGGACCACTTCGCCCCTCCAGTATGCCCTCTCAGTCCGTCTCCGCCAGGTCAATGCGACAACCATCCAAGGACTGCGCTTCACACTCGGCTTGCCCTTCTTTTCACGGCACGAAACCTTTTCTAGCCCAGCCTCGCAAGAAGCCAATAATGATCATACGCAACCCGAACCCGAATGTCTCACAAACATGCTGTGCCTGGGCACCACTACGCTCCCGGCGCCGAAAACTCTAGAGTACGATACTGCCAGCAGAGATGTTGATGGACCTACTATCCTGACCATCGTCCAAATCAGGAGCCGCAGACCGTACTGGCTCTGCCGCCACACTGAAGTACGTGACCATCTGCCCGACTTGCCTGCTCCTCCAACGCGGAGAGCGAGGGATTCTAAGACACTAGATCCCGACGCACTCGACGATCTGGCCGACGCCGTGTTTACGCGCGCCCAAGAGGAAGAGGATGAGCAGGACGTCATAGGCAGCGGTGTAGATAGAAACACAGATGGCCTGGAGGTTCGTGTTGTCGCGCGACTGTGGGGGTGGCGCCCGCAATCCACCACCTTGACGGGTGTGGATACCGTGAGCGTCTCACCGAGGGGAGACCGCATCGCCGTCGCGCAGTGGGACCGGGTTCTGGTCTACGCCCTCGACCCTGGCCCGTTGTGCGACGACCTCGACGACGATGACCAGTCGTCTGCGTCGGATACTGGAGGCAATCTGGATCCCGCCGAAAATGTCCAAGCCGCGACTACACAGGTTGGGGCTGGAGCCGGTGACGTTGTTCTTGCCGCGGATCCTGACGACGCAGACACCCAGACGACACCGACACCACCCTCGTCGCTGCAACAGGCGACGCAAAGTTCCCCGCAAAGCCCAACTGCAAAGACGTCTGCCCACGCCTCCGCGACGTTCCCGGTCGCGGCTGGGTTTGCGAGTTTCTACCCGCATGTAGATGACCCCTTTTTCGGCCGTCTTGTCGAATTACGGCCTGTCGTGCTGAAGATGGATGAAGGTGCTATCGTCCACCGCATTGCATGGGCAGAGGCCGCAAGCTACGACGAACAGCAGGAATCTGGAGCAGACCTGGATCGGTGCGAAGAGGGTCCACAGAGCACTACGGAAGACGGCAGGGGAGCGGAGACAGACAACCAGGACATGGCCATTCCTACTGAGGCCAGTATTGGTCGAGCAAAGACTATCAAGACACCGAATGAAGACGACGCCAGGCAGGTCGATATCTGCCAGACATCTAGCGATCTTCAGCCACAGAATTCGTGGAATGATTCTCCCAAAGTGGACGTCAGAGACCCCGACGACCCAGTGCACAGTGAAGTCCCCAGAAATTGCACGCCACTACCATCCCCACACGTCCATACGGGAAGAATGCTAACACAGGCCCCCTCTTCAAACATGGCGTTGAATAGTCAGGCCAGTGTTGCCACATCCAAGCCGCTCGAACCTGACATTCTACCAAGAAAAACCGGCGTAGATAATTCCCTGTCAACGAGCGCCGCAGACATAGTAAATCTATGCCTTGAAGGCAAGGGGCAAGACTCAACTGAGCCTAGCGACGAGAATGTGGGACGGATGTCTCTGAGCGAGCCGAGTCAAGAAGGGAAGCCAGTCGCATCCTGCGCAACGCCCAACGAAAAGACTGGGTCGATAGAGTCGCAAGACAAGCCAGCATTCAAGATGAAACGGAAGCGGCCTGCTTGGAACGAGTTGATGGTGCTAACAGATCAGGGAGTCCAGAGCTGGAATCTCGGCATGTGGGGAAGAGGGAAGCGCATCCGTCGTGAGCTTGACGAAATTGACGTATTGCAATAGCTGTACAGATTCACAAGCCTGTTGTACCGCATCGCGTGGAAGTTGCGTTTATGCAGAAAATTTTAATTTAGCGGAACTTGAAAGGCTTGTTCCGTGCCGCTCAGCGGCGAGGTGAGATGATGTTGTCGAAACATTTCAAGACTCTGGGTGCGGTCTCAATTATGGACAATGGTAGATCAAGTCCCTCACTCATGGGAGAGCGTGGTAGCATCTCGCAGTGTATCATTTGTCTCCGCCCCCTCCCCCCATAGAAAGTACAGCAAAGATCAGGAAGACCCACCAGTACTTCTGGAAGAAACTCTTTTCTTGCTGTTCTTCTTGCGCAACCTCCCTTCCCTCAGAATCCACCTGCGGTGGTTTGCGAGTTGCGAGAGCAGGTGCAGGACCAGGGCTAGACACCAGGAGGTTGACTCGGATAGGCTCGTGGAGAGCGGCTCTTCTAGCTGCTTCCTCCCTTGCCTTCTTTGTATTGGGAACCGGGGGAGGGGGCGGTATAGGCTTTCCTTTCGCCTTTGCTCGGTCGACTTTTTTCTTGTAATGTGCCTCTTCGGGAGTCAGTGGCGGCGGCGAGACACTGGACACGGAGGCCGAGAAGACTGATCCGTCGTCTGGAGATATCCAGAGGTCAATCTTCTGGTAAACATCCGGGTTGAAGGTGTCTAAGGTCGTGACCGTGGTATGGCCATTGGGAAGTAGAATTCGGAGAAGTCTTGACGAGGTGGATTCGGGAGTGGTGGACTTTTCAGAGTCGAGGCTTGGAGGAGTCCAGGAGGATAGAGCGTGCTTCAGAGACTTGGGGTCGTAGGAGAGGGTGGCCAATGGCTCGACTGAAGGAGATCCTAACAGTTGGTAGGAGAGAGTGACTGAATTGGGGAGGTCGCCGGCATCGCGGCCCGCCAGAGCGACGCAGGCATAGACTGCCAGCAGCAACAGGCTGCGGAACGTCGACACGACCATAGCTGGCATACCACCTTCTGGATACTCCGGTTCTGGCTGTGCTGAAGAATAGCTGATGTGGTGACTGTAGATTTCACTCACTCACTCGGTGTCGCAGTTCATCCAGCCAACTGGCGTGGCAGACGGCAAGTTAGCCGAAGCGAAGTGACAACCATCTCAATCGCACCTGCCTTGCAAGTTCCTTCCTTCCTTGCCAGTGGGTCAAGATGTAGTCACCATGGACTTCCTCCAGGACTTGCCTGGGGGCTCTCCCCCTCTTACACGCGCCCACAAGGACCGCGACCTCGGAAACCTCCTCTACTCCTCTGATTCGGACGATATGGCGACCATCCGAGAGCCTGAAAGCAAGGTCGACAAGGACAAACTCGATCCCGAAGTTCTCAAGAACTTGGAAATGCACCAAGGCTTCATGCGTCAAGCAATCAATGTCGCCGAAGAGGCTCTTGCCGGAGGTGAAACTCCAGTTGCCTGCGTCCTTGTCCACAATGGCGAAGTCGTGGCTCGAGGCATGAACGACACAAACCGGTCTCTCAACGGCACTCGGCATGCAGAGTTCCTGGCCATATCTGAGTTTCTTGCCAAATTCCCTGCCGACAAGCTCAAAGAGACCGATCTCTACGTTACCGTTGAGCCTTGCATCATGTGCGCTTCAGCCCTCAGACAGTACGGGATCCGATGCGTCTACTTTGGATGTGGAAATGATAGATTTGGCGGAAATGGCAGTGTTCTCGCAGTCAACTCTGACCGGGGTCTCGAGGAAGGTTATCCAAGCTACGGAGGGATATTCAGGAAAGAAGCCATCATGTTGCTCCGTAGGTTCTACATTCAAGAGAATGAGAACGCACCAAACCCTCGTGCAAAGGGCAATCGGGAATTGAAGCCGGTGGTCTAGACATCGGTAGGGAGTCACTGCCTGCGCAGAGAGCCGTTGATATCACGCCTCACAATTTCACAAGAAGCAATACACGCCTTGCATGTCATAGAGCAGGGTAACAACAGTTGCGGTCGGTCGGCGCCTTACTGCGCTTCATGCTAGCGATCGCGACTTCCTCACCCTTTGAGCTTCATTCGGAGCTAATCACAATACCGGGGGCATGGCTGCGGATACCCATTACACGTTCAGAATACAATCTAGTCCATCAAAGTCTCCTTGACCTATCGTCTACTCCTGACATCGTTGAGCTTGTCCGTTCATCTATCTACATGCCTTATTTTCCATGATATTGTGACTTTTCAGAAATACTTGAGACTTGATAGTCTTGTCCCAGGCCGCAGCCTGCGGCAGGCAGTATCCATGGCACGCAACGACCGCGAGACAAAGACCGACCTTGTCACACGTATCTGCGAGATCTGCTTTGAGGAGAAGCCCCAGCTCGACGATTTTCCATCCTTTCATCGATGTTACCACCCGCCAGCCACCTGCTTGTTGTGCATCCTCAGACATCTACGTTGGCGGATGAGGCTGATGCCGGATTGCAGCACAATTACCTGTCCGTCCTGTGGAATTCCCATACCAATGTCCGAGCTGAAGGCGGCTCTGGGAGAGAAGGTGTGCCGGCACGTCGAGGAGTGGCTCCAGAATGCACGGGTCTGGCATCTGGGCACCTGGCAAAGCTGCCCGAAGCCCGACTGCGGTCATTCAGGCAAGGTGTATCATGGATCACTAGCCAGGTTGAAATGCCCAAAGTGTGGCACAAAAAGCTGCTTCCGACATCAGGTTCTCTGGCACAGGAACGCCACCTGCCGGCAGTATGACGCCCAGATGCCGCCGGAAGAAAAAGAACATTTGCAGTTTCTCTATCAGATGACGAGGAAGTGTCCGGCATGCCACATGCGAGCGTCAAAACCCGAGCACTGCGATATAGGTCAATGTGAGTGTGAGGGTAGCCAACTTTGACGGTGATCTTTCGCTGATAAAGTAAGGCTGGTATTGTAGGACTTGGTGGAACTGGAGGGACAAAACCATCGTGCACCCGCACTTCACAGAACCTGGGCTGCTCAGACATCAACTTGCTAAGATGTGGGGCCAGAGATGGTTTAGGAGTTCTCCTAGCCACCATGGTGACACAAACGACTCGATGTCACGGCAGTCAAGCATCTGGTTTCCCTCTTTCGTTCCAAATGGACGGACTAAGCCCGACGAGGATGATCAAGCCAACAGCAACTATGTAAGAAGCTGGCACGATGACACAGCCTCTGGCAGCGTATTCGGTAACGCATTCACTCTCACTGGCATGAGTGAGTTGCTTCCTGCTCGGATGAGCCTCATGCAAAGATTACGGGGAGCATTCGTGCGCGATGGGATTACGCACTGGCTCGAATATTGCAATCAAGCATGGAGCTTGCGGAGTCTCCTAGCCAGAAGCGCGGATTTGCTCCGTACCGAAGATCGATATTTAAGGCATGTCGACTGTGCCTATGCCGGGTCACTGCGGTTGAAATTGACTGCGAAACATGTCGGCTTGGTTGATGCTCTCGGTGACGACGGAATTCAGCCCGCCGGAGCAGGAGTCGAACAATGGTTGGACAACGTCTATCCAGTAGATGGCGGGGCTGGCTTCGCACGGGGAGAAGACACTCAATGGGTGCGAGTCGAAGTACCATGGGCACAACGTGATCACAATGGGAACTAGGTGTTTACCTTTTACCCCAGTTCGCTCCCTCTGGACGACACGCAGGCCATACCCATCAGGCAGGAGGAAAAGACGGCGCAGGTTGAAGCCGATAGATTGCCGGGGGTTGATATATCAGATGAGTGTTCAGCAGGAGCATTTTGGACGGGATAGATATTGAATGATGGACATTAATTGGATGGCCGAATGTACAGTATGTGCCGTAGCTTAGTGTGTAAGTATATGGAGTATCCGTACACAACGAGTCAACACTCACGAGGCTGAGGCCGCGGATAAAGGGGCTTAAGGGGCACCAGGGGCTTAGGGGCTGCTGAGTCATGCCAGCCACCGCAGCCACCGGCAGTCACCGCAGCCACCGCAGTCACCCGCAGTCCCCGTCACTCCACGGCTAATTATCAATTCATTTTAATTATTATGCATCTGACCTGTGCGCTGGACTGTGAATATTTTTGGCGCGCTTCTCGAGTCCACTCGACCATCACAACACAACACCACCCCAGTCTTTGTCCTTTCCATCGACTGCCTCACTGCCTCGTCCTCGTTGAATCTGGCACTGCCCCCAGCTTGTTTATCACCCTGCAGGTGACCATCTTGCTTTATATATCATCCGATCGTCCTGCGAATACTGGCACGTCTCGGCTCCAATTACATTTCGCTTCCCCATTCAATCAGATACCTCGACTATCGGAACAACCTCTTCGCTCCGCCCAAGAACATCCTTGTCTGCTTCAGTCCTCGTTCGCATCTCTACCTGCACTACCATGGCCTCTACTCGTCCTCGAACGGCGGCGGCGGCTGACGCCTCCAAGAAAACAACAAAGACCACCACCGTCGCCAAAGCTGCCAAAGCTACTAAGACTGCGGAAGCAACAAAGCCAAAAGCCCCCGCAAGGCGTCTGGGAACCGGAGTCATCACTGTCACTCCTTCAGAACATCACCCTAGACCCAAAATCCACAAGCGCAAGGCCGAAGATGAGGTCGAGGACAGTCCCAAAGCCAACGGCATCAAAAGAGTCAAGCCCCAGACCGTGGTCCCTTCTCCGGAGCCGGTGAAGGGAAAGGCGGTAACGAAGAAGACCACAACGGCCAAGAAGACCAAGGCGAAGGCAGAACTGAACCACGCTCCCACCGATAAGCTGAATGTCTACGTTTTCGGAGAAGGGTCTTCGGGAGAACTGGGACTAGGAAGCGCAAAGGGCCAAACCGAAGTGAAGAGACCACGCTACAATCCAAACCTGAGCCCGGACACGGTTGGCATCGTTGGCCTGTCGGTCGGTGGAATGCATACTGCTGCTCTGACACATGACAACAAGATCTTGACCTGGGGCGTCAACGATCAAGGCGCCCTCGGGCGAGACACTACTTGGGACGGCGGTCTTCGGGACATGGACGATGATGCCGGGAGTGACAGTGACTCTGACAGCGGGTCTGAGACGGCAGTCAATCCAAAGGAGTCGACACCCAGCGAAGTGGACTTGGCTGGCGTTCCTGAAGGAGTCGTCTTCACTCAAATTGCCTGCACTGATAGCGCCACCTTCGCCCTGACTAGTGAGGGTGAAGTTTATGGATGGGGCACCTTCCGATCGAATGAGGGAATATTCGGCTTTGACCCATCTACGCTGATTCAACTGCGGCCAAAGCTGATCAAAGGCCTCAAAAACATCATCCAATTGGCCACCGGAGCGAACCACGTCCTCGCTCTCCAAAGCAACGGTATTGTGTATGGATGGGGTTCGGGACAACAGAATCAACTAGGGCGCAGGATTCTGGAACGACGAGCAACGAACAGTTTAATACCGATGCCTATTGGCCTCCCGAAGAAAATCATCCACGTCGGAGCTGGGGCATACAACTCGTTTGGGGTCCGTGACAACGGCGACGTTTATTCATGGGGACTGAACAATTTTGGTCAAACTGGTATCCCGAAAGAGTTTGATGAGACTGGAGCCAGCAAGAGCTCTGACGTCCACCACCCCATTGTCATCGAAAGTCTTCACGGCAAAGGGAGAGTCACCTGCATCCACGGTGGGGCCCACCATACCGTTGCCGTGACCGATAAAGGCGAGCTGTTGGTCTGGGGCCGACTTGACGGCAGTCAACTAGGCTTGAAAGTGTCAGACCTGCCACAGGACGACGTCGTGCGTGATTCTGCCGGCCATCCTCGAATTCTCACTGTGCCAACGCAAATCCCCAATATCGATGCTGTCTATGCCGCTGCTGGCTCCGACCATGGTATTGCCATTGACAAGAATGGAAAGGCATACTCATGGGGATTCAGCACCACCTATCAGACCGGTCAAGGCACCGACGAAGATGTCGAGGTTGCAACCCTCATTGACAACACGGCAGTCCGGGACAAGAAACTTGTTTGGGCTGGCGCAGGTGGCCAATTCAGCGTTCTCGCGGGCCTTCCAACTCCGGTGGTCAATGGCGTTAACGGCATCAACGGACATGCCTGAATCCGGCTGACTTCAGGTTCACAAGGCAACGGCGAGACGAAGTGGTTGCAACATTGGAGATAGACGTCAATCATTGGTTCTGGAAAAGGAAAAAGAACAAGGGAAAGAAAGGGTGACGGGACCGAACCTCTGATTCAGGAGCCAGGAGGGTTCAAAAAGCTGTGTGTTGTTAGATCATGAGTTACAACTTGTACAAACCTAATTTTTCGACGGTGGTGTTGGTGTAGGGTCCAAGTTCTGGTCTGGCGTGGGATGGGAGGCTTGCCATGAGCTACATATATGTACATGCGGAGGCGAGACGGTCCAGGAGGGATTCATATTCAATGCCAAGTTGGTCTGTGGATTGAGGGATAAGGATCATGGATGACAGTGCAACGCTCGTTCATGTTCATGCCAGGCGGATTGGTGAAATTGTATCTTGGGCTGAGCTGGAGCTGGTGATGATGGCGTTCTGATGTGCTGTTCCCAGGCCGATTGAACACGAAGGCAGAGCAGGGCAGAGCAGGGCAATGCAGAGCACGGTAATTAAAACCAAGTTACTACCATTATACAAGAATGAACCGAACGAAATGGGGTTTCGTGCTGCGCGAAGCTATCTACCGATTCCACTATCTACAGACCGTCAGTTCCATCGTCGCCGTCGTCGCCGTCGTCGTCGGTACATCTCCGTGCTAAGCCCGTAACCTAGTTTGCTTGCCTGCGCCCTGCGGCATCCCGTCCACCGTCCACCGTTCACCCTCCCCGCTCCTTGACGGTACATACAACAACCCACTTACTAATTAGTACCAGTACGAGTACCTCGGACCAACTCAACATCTAATAAGGTGACGGACGACCTGAGGGTACATGACATACAGCAGACATACAGCTAACCAGCTACAGTACACGAGGTAGCTGAGTTCGACATCAACACCACCACTACCACCACTACCACTACTACCACTACTACCACTACTACCACTACTACCACTACTACCACCATGTCCGGATCCCAGTCCGAGTCCGCGTCCGAGTCCGCGTCCGTGTCGGGCCCTCCGGTGCCCTTCTCGTCGCTGCCTCTGTCGAAAGAGCCAGCGGCAGCGCGGCTCAACGCATGGGGTGCGTACGGGGGTCGGGACGAACTGGGCTTCCTGAACCGGCAGACGGCGTCGACGGTGGCGGCGGCGGCGGCGTCGGAGATCCGCATGGGGGTGCGGGTGACGGTGGACGCGCCGCTGGACTTCCTGGGGACGAAGCCGCTGTTCGGGCGGCAGGCGTTTCACAAGGAAGTGTACCAGAAGGCGCCGCGGGTGGTGCACGACGACACGTGGAGCTTCAACACGCAGGGGTCGTCGCAGTGGGACGGCCTGCGCCACTTTGGCTACCAGGCCGCGCAGCGGTTCTACAACGACACGACGCTCGACGACATCGCCGGCACCAGCGCCAGCGGGCAGACGAACCCGCACGTGCTGGGCATCCACAACGCCGTCCAGCACGGCGGCATCATGGGCCGGGCCATCCTGGTCGATTTCCGCCGCTGGCTGGACGAAGGGCCCGGTAAGGAGATTGTCAAGCGCGACGCTGAGGTGGGCTTCGACAACTTCCGCTCCAGCGCCATCAAGCTCGACTGGATCCTCCAGACGCTCAAGTGGCAGGACAACACGACGCCGCGGTTCGGCGACGTCTTGATCGTCCGCTCCGGCTGGTTCCCCGCGTACCGCGCCCTGCTGGCCAACGACCCGGCCGAGCTGGACCGCATCGCCAACATGAAGCCGCCGGCCTTCGGCGGCGTCGAGCAGTCCGACGACGTGCTGCGCTGGATCTGGGACCACTTCTCCGCCGTCGCCTCCGACCACCCGTCCTTCGAGCGCTGGCCCTCCCCCTTCGACTGGAGTCTGCACGAGGTCCTGCTGGCCGGCTGGGGCTGCAATATCGGCGAACTGCTCGACCTAGAGGCTCTCAGTCAGGAGTGTGTGCGCCAGAACCGCTGGTCTTTCTTCCTCGCTAGTGTGCCGTGCTATGTGCCCGGCGGCGTCGCCAGTCCTGTGAACGGCGTCGCCATTTTCTAGACGAAGAGAAGCGCGGAGAAATGAATCCATTCCAAATCACTCTCTACTGCAGAGTAATGAGAATCCCGGCCGCCATGGAACAGGCAGGGCAAGGGCATGGGCTTGAGCATGAGCCCGTATGGATATTGGGTTTGGCCTTGGGCAGGTATCAGGCCGCAAAGGAAAAGGGGGGGAAAGCCAAATGCATGATAACGCCATGATCCGGCTGAAACACTCACGGATGGTTACGGATCTTCATAGCCTTCTCGACGCGTCAAACAACAAACATCACACCATATGCTCATCGAATCTGGCGATATAGGTGGTGAGATGCCGGCTTCCGTATGCATATGACAGATAGAACGCTGCAGAATGGTGCATTATTCACATCACGGACTCAAGACTGAGGCTTTGCATTGATTGTTCATTATTCAAGACGTCTCTTGTTTGTATTGTGTGTGTTTATCAACTACCTATCCCGGGTTGATTCCACGGCGCCGCATGTGAAGCTCCAAGCTTGGGTACGCTTCCAATAGAAAATATCAATATCACTTCCTAATGTTACAGGGTGTAGAGCGCCGGCAGAGGCCGTGTGCGCTGATAATGTCAGTCTGGTGTCCAGCCATCGACCCATCCTTGCGCTATGCTGAAAATGATTGAAAATTCCTGAAAGGTGTTGTCATTGATGACGCAGGCAGATGATGCTGAAATAAGAAGAAGCCGATCCTAAGCTGAAAGGCCGACCAAAGGCTCAATGACAGTTGAAAAGAGAACGAGATTCGTAGAGGTGGCGGACTATGTCTGATGCCACATGTGAATTGTAGCTGCTCAGACCACACAATGCAGCCAGGCTCAGCAGACAGATATGGCCACCAGGTGACGTAACTCGTAACTTGTAACTCGATCCTGGTGTAAGTCGCGAGGCAAAGCCGAAAGTAGATTTCCGCTGTGTGTTCCAGGTCTCCCGGACACTACGGTCGGTTGGATATGGACTTTCCGCCGAGTGCTTGAGGTCTTTTCGACCATGATGTTTGTTCCGGGCCGAGCGCCATCCGGTGTCCGTCGTCAATGGTGGTGCATGATTTCATAACAAGAATGTTTCGGTCTTTAATGATTAATTCCAAACGCCGTCCTCAGCCAGTTTGGTGGCTGTCCAATCCTCTGCGCCGAAAATAGGAATCAGACGGGCGACCAAAAGATACAAGGTATCAAGAAGGGTTGTTTTGCTTTGTAAAAAGCCATGTTCAACGTCTTCTTTCCACCCAATCCATCAGCATGCGATGTTTTTGGTCTTCGTAGCTGTACGCGCATGTCTTAGGCCTCGCCGCCCTCAGGATATGGGGCACTGAGCCGTGTTCGAAGGTCATGCCGAAGTTGGACTCGGACTGGCCCTTGTAGAGATCGGCTGCAGGGGTGGTAGGACGCTGGACTGCATCTTTGCCTGGGGCAAGCATTGTCCGACCTGATGCGTCAATCGCGGTAGGAGAATGAAAGCGCGAATGAGGGCTAGCTAGACGTTGGCGAAGCGATTCAGCCCAGCTATGGTGTGTTGGGGAGCGACCGCCAGAGCGAGATTCGGACCGAGAATGAGAGGGCGATTGTTTCTTTGGCGAGCCCCGTCTTGAGTCCTCATCTTCAGCGGCGGTCTGGGTGGCCTGGGTGACCATTTCTGTGGCTGCCTCTGCCACGGCCGGCGCTGTTGTTGGCTGACCTGCTTGCTCGCCCGCAGTTCTCTGGGGCTGAGTCTGGAAATATTCGCCTGCGTTATCCAACTCGACCGTTTGTAGCCCTGGTGTGCTAACTAGGATCGGAATCTCGACCATTGATTACGTGAGGTGTGTTGTGTGAAGTGTAGGTTGCTGTTGGTATTGATGTGTAGAGCGATATCTGGCTTTATAGATGCTAGAAGTTTGTTAATCTGGGGAACAGAAGCTTAATGGCTGCCACCCGGGTATTGTATTATTTATACATGGCCAAGGGAGAGAGGGTACAGCTGAGGCTGTGCAATTGTTGTGCAATTTGTTGTGGAGATGAGGGTGAAATGTGTGGCAATTACCTCCGGGAAGGCTAGGGACATTGCTGGATGGATCGAGTCGAGTCGAATCAAACAGACTCATGGCCCCAACCCTTATGTAACAAGTCCCCTGCCTGCGGCATATTGGTCCCAAGACCGGGTTGCGGAAGTCCAAGGCGGCCGGCAGCGGCGGGGAGGGACTCTTCACCGCAGGGAGGCGTGTCTGATAGGATGTCGACCGGGCCCAGCGGCACTATCTATCAGATGATGGTGAATAAAAGCGAGCACAAATCATGCTCCAGCAAAATGTAGGGGTGGATCAGAAGAAGTCGATCACCTCGTCGTAAATCTGGGGTAGCAGGGCAGCTGGTCGTTGATCTGACCATGAATATCGGTAAGGGAAAAATGGCGCAAGACACAAAGGCCGGTCACGGTTGGAGCGGTCGAGAACGAGAACGACAGGGATGAAGGCAGGGATGAAGGCGAGCTGGCAGCCTGCGACTTTGGAAGTGGAAGTCCGTGAGGTGGCATGATGGCTGGTGACAATACCATACCAGAGGCCCGCGTGAGAAGGACGCTCAAATACCTCAATACGCCGAATACTGCCGTCTGACCGTCACCCGACTCACAGGCACCGGCAAGCCCCTCCCGCAGGCGGGTACAGCATCATGCCACTCACTCCTGCACCTGCGACAACTCCCGATCAGACCCCAACAAACACGGCATCTCGATACATGCCACCAGCCCAACCACCGCCTCCGTAATCAGCTCACGACGATAACGAACCCGGGGCTGGCCATGATGGAAGCACATTGTGTTGTTGGGCCTGTACGGCATAAAAGGACTGACCAGACACGTCTACGATCGAAGAGACAGAATTCCCCATCACTCAGACAGTTCCTCCACTGCAAAGGACCAAAGTCCATACACACACAGCCTACACAACATTGCCAGACCTTCTTCACAGAGGGCCTAACCAACAAGTATCCACATAGCATCACTTGAATCAAGATGATGTCCCAGACTGCACCTGTAAGTCAACCTTCGCCGAGGAGAGAGACTCCGCTCGTTGTCCACTACTATTGCTAACCATTGCCCTCTTTTCCAGCCGACTGAGACCCACAAGCCAGGCGAAGAGCGTCCCGCTGGCATGAAAGACAACGCGTTCGTGGCGTTTTACAACGATTACGATCTCAGCGAGTTGCTATACAGGAACCCCGTGTTCGAGTCGGGCTTTTTGCCCCTCGATCCCGAGGACGAGCAACAGGCTCATTCACACGCCAAAGTTCGGCCTGCAGAGACATCCAACACTGGCACGACGCCGCCTCCTGCGGCAGCCGGAAAACAGGCCGCTCAGCCAAAATCGGCCATGAAGACCGCCCCGCAAAGCTCCAACAAAACCCGAGGCGTCGAGCGAAGACCCAGTTTCATCGAGGTCTCGATGCCTAAGATGCACGAGCATGAACTCGCACATCACGGCCCACACGCCCGCAGACGGCACTCCTCCGAGTCACATGTGCCCATGAGCTGGTGGCCCGAGGACGAAATGTTGGCCCAGATCAAGTGGGTGGAGCGAGATTGCGGCTCTGCCGACGAGGAGGAAGATCTCGTGGAAGAGGAAATGTGGGTTGACACATTCTACGAATGACGGAACATTTGACAAAGCAACACGGTTTATACTTTTGCTGCAACGACTTAACGACTTTATTCTCGATTATCACGTTCACCAGGCCGGTTGGGACTGGGGAGGGGTGCGTCGGAAACGAAACCAAAGATCCGCGGGCAGTTGCAAGCCTGTGATGTACAATATTTCTCCGCTCTGACGTGAGGCTGGGCCCTGTCAGGGGTAAACGATCTAATCAAAGAAGATGTTTTCTAAAAGACAAAAAGGACCTTTAAACTACTAGTACTCGCTGGGACAGAAGTCACACGTTGTAATCTAGTGCCAGATAGTGCTCTTGTGCAATCACCTCGAGGTTTTCTAGACGAACTGCCTCGGAATAGCTTTGTTCACCACAAACAATAGCAATAATGAACAGTCTCGCTTCCTTTCCTAGCCAAGGCCAAGGGCGACATCGCCAGCAAGGAAGTGAAACCAGTGATGCGTTAACCAATCCGCCGTAGCATATAGAAATATCAGAAGGAAGCCATCAATGGCTCCTGATAATAGTAAGATCGAGAGTCTGTCGTGACGAGATTTTTATCCTTCCTGTGTTAAGATTGGGATATATACTACGGCGGTAATGACCGTCCCGTCCGAGCCTCAAGAAACAACGACCATCCCGTCCTCGGACCGCATCGAACGTAGAAACGAGCGGCAACAGCAGACTGCCAACAAGGCCACTCCCATCCTTCAACCATCGCAAGGCGATGACTCCTTCACCGGCTTCAATTAGTCTCCTCGTTCAAGTCTTGATGGTAACATGCAGAGGCTCGGTGTGCTCCTCGTGCAGCTTGGGTACCACGATCCTCAACAACCCAGCGTCGAGCTTGGCGTGGGTGTTGTCCCGATCCAAGTCGACGGGGAAGTTGAATCCGCGCATCTGCCCGCCGATCTGTCGCTCATGGACAGTGAGGTGAGGCTCCTTCTTCACCGTCGCCAGAGGAGGCGCAGCGGTCGCTGTCGGTTCCTGCTGTTCCTGCTGCTGTGGATCAGCAGCAGGCGGCGTAGTGTCGGCTTCTTTCTTGGCCGGCTCGGAAGCAGGACCAACAATGGGGATATCAAAGAGCTCAGACTCCGGGATCTCGGGTCGAACGATCTTGCTGGTGACCAGTAGGGTACGCATGGAGGTCCAGCGCAGATGTAGCTGCGACTTGTCCGAGATCCCCGGCAACTCGACTTCGATGTAGAAGTTGAACCGGGTCTCTCTCAAATCGGCCTTTGGGATGTGGATCTCTTGGTCTTTGTCGTGCAACAGCCGGTGCGCCTTGTGCGCAAGGTATGGCAGCGGGATATGCGGCAGGTGTTGCCCCTTTTCGGGGTATGTGTGCGGCACATACGTCGTTGGGTATGGCTCGACCTCTGGGTATGTGTAGAGGAACGCCATTGGCATATACTCGGTCAATGTGCTGTGAGGTTGTTGTTGTTGTGGGTTGCCTTGATCAAGACTTGTTCCCCGATAGTTTAATGCTAGCCTCGTCTTGCAACTTGGTCTTCAAGTTTGGTGTGGTGGTTTCGTTGTGGAGCTCAATCGGGGACCCTCGAGGGCGTGCCGTCGTATTTGTCTTGAACTTCCTCTGCTCCCGAGACAAAGTCGACTCGACGCGAGCATCTGGGCGGTCGGGCCATTGTCGCCAAAGGCAGCTCGTTGCGTAGCCCTGTCGTGTTTGTTGACGCCAGACGAGGCGAGATCGTTCTCACAAAGGGGTCACGGGGGACGTTGGGCCATCTCAAGGTCATGCCATGTGCATTAACCTAGTAATGCAGTATACGGTGCATTCGGCAGATGCCGTGATGTGGTCGCGACGGTCGATGTGTTGTAGATCGCGTAGATCGTGGAGTGATGTTGGACCGTATTTTTCATTAGCATGCGTCGTCAGCGGCTGGGCTAAGGGGCTCGCCTAAGAGGCTCAGAGCCTAGAGCCCGAGAAGCCCCTAAGCCCCTTAGCCCTACGTAGAACCCCCAGCCAAGAGAAGTTTCCCGGCAGCAGCAGAAGGTTCCAGCCCCGGAAGCCCTAGACCTGGGCGCCCATCCACAGCACTAGTAATAGTAACTTAGTGGCTGTGTCAGGTACGTAACAGTGCCCAGGCGTTGGCTCCAAGTCACGGTATCTGTACTCCCACGCAGGCCCAATAAGCACGGGCCCCAGAAGTCCCTGAACCTCGTTGTTTTACTGCTCTTTTCGTTGGGACCTCGGGCGCTACAGGCCCCCCAAGCCCCCTACAGGCTATTAGCACTTGGGGCTCATCGGGCCACGGCGGCATCATTCCACTATTATCAGGTACCACTTAGGATGTGGCCGGTTACGGTACCTGGTAGCAATGGGCGCAGCTGGATCCAATACCACTCTGTACGCAAGACAACATAGCTCCCTGGATTCTGCAACGGTATAAATCTCAAGGTTGTACACGGTCAATCGATGTCTTTTCTTTTCCTTCTCCAAGCAACAAAACACATCAAGTCTATAAGACACATTACTGAAGAGTTCAAGAGACTCACCAACACATCACTCCTCCACACATTCGCTACATCTACCAACCACTACTTCTAGTAGCACTTCCACCACCAACACCGCAAAGATGATGCGAACAACAATTCCAAGAGCCTGTATGACTAGGATCCGAACACCAGCCTTTTGTCAGTCATTTGTGACATCACGGCCATGGATGAGCGAAGGAGATACAGGCGCCGTGCGGGCCGGCGGAGTTGCATCAGGGTAAGGAACCATGTCTCTACGTCTGTCTTGGGATCAAATTACTGACACTTCATTGTACAGCGACTCATTCAACCGCCGCGAACAAGCATTGGAGAACGTATACTTCAGACAGCACGAGCTTGATAAGTAAGTCAAATTCCCCTATAGGCGCCTGGCGCTGCAACATCAAGTGAATCGATAAATGCTGACTTGTGGCCGTTTAGCATCAAGAAAATGAAAGAAAAGCTCGCCGCTCAGCGGAAACACCTGGACGAGGTCGAGAGCCATCTCATCGAGATGGAGCAAGCTGCCTCACAGAGAGCGGCTGCTGAGCCAGAGAATACTCAATGACTCCTCCAAAGCAAATTGTAACGACCTAATGAATCCAGAGTTTGAATGTGGGCGTCTTAGACATTATAGACGGGAAGGCGTAGGCACCAAAGCCTACGGATGGGATTCAAACTCATCAAAACCATCAACAACATCAACACCTAATAATGGGACGGCCGACTGTCTACATTTTATGCACCTCCCTGGTCGTTATCACGACCTCGATAGAGGATCACAGCTGTGAGAAGCTATCTGTCTAAACAGACGTCCGGACATTATTGTGTCCGTGACTTTTAGACGCCTAATCTTAGAGATATGGCACCAAATGGATATGGTATATTTCCATCAACACAACAATAATTCCAGATTTCATACAGTATTGCTCCCAAATCTTCAGATGGGTTTGCAGCTTGCCTACCCCGTAAAGTATGTAAACAAAACTCTCGACTAGGTAGTGCGTTATGCCCCAATCCGTACATCTAGAAAACAAGTAGCCGTGCCTCAAAGCCCCAATAAGGATGGGTGGTGGTGGCAAAGCGTCTTAGCCATGGGAACGGAGCACTGTGCAGAAACAAGACTTCGTTCGAACAAGGGGGAAACGAAGACGGCATTCCCAAAGATCTATCCGTACTCACTCTGTACAAGGTGCCAACGAGGAGAATCCGGGGAAGGCGAAGCATCCAGATCCTGGATCCTGGATCCTGGCCCATGGTGCATCTGCGCACCCATGTTAGGTGCATGTCCTTCGCTTATGTGACAGTCACACCATGTTGCAGAAAAGCGCAAATTACGCCATGGCGTAAAACGCTCATACCGGCAGTACGGTACGAATACCAGGTATTGTACCCTTCAGCTATGGTCGCGGTCACGTTTGCGAAACTGCGCTGATTTTTCAAGGCTGTCATTTGACCCCTTCCACGACCTTCTTTCCCCATATTGTACTCCATACTGTACAGAGTACTCCTCTACTCCCTCCACCATCGATCGACCAAGCTCTCGCTTCAAATCCCGCATCCAATGAGCCATTTGTCCAGTCCTTCCATTTCCTTCTCCTCAAACCTCCTTCTCGCCGAGCAGCCCTGTCATGTCCGGTCTGGTCTGTTCCATCCGTGGTCTGGCCGGAGCGTAGACTGTCTCGGTCGATAACTCTCCACCCAGTCATACCACAGGCTAGGCTCCCTCAGGCCAGCGCTGTGCACGATGACTGAAGATTCTGGCGAGACGGACGACTTGATGCCGTAATGTCTGTGCAGATACGTCAGCTGCAGCTCCAGCTGTTGCATCGTGCAAGCTCATAAGAAGCAGGCCGTGTCCAACCATTGGCAGTTCGAGTAGACAACATCCAACATACACAAACAAACAAAACCTACATACCCTCAGCTATTGTATTAGTTGTTGCAATCACAACAATATCCAATCATCCAAATAAATCACTCTATCAATACCACCCAACAAACCATGGCACTGAACGGCAACGGCGCGCCCGAGGGCGAAAACCTCTACCATGTCGTCTTCACCACAACTCACATCCCCAAAGACGTCAACGGTGAGGTGGAAAAGGTCCGAGTCGTGGGCACCTACACAACTCTAGCCGCCGCCAAAGCAGCGGCACACAGGACATTGTTCGAGGCCGGGTACGAACGGGAATTCTTCGACGACTATGAGACCAATCAGGAAGAATTCATCGCCCACCACGTCAAGAGACGAACAGGTCTTGCCGTGCTGGCCAAGGCCCCTGACAGCACCACCTTCCGCGTCAGCGTGGCCACCACCCCCAACCTCCTGAAGCTGCAGGCTGGTGAGGGCCACAAAGTCCACCAAGACCTGTACTACGTGGTTCAGACCAACGTCCTGTACAGCGAAGACGACACTGGCGAGGCCAGAGAGACCAACGTCGAAGGCACCTTCACATCGTACGAGGAGGCCCGGAAATATGCGTCCCAAGTCCTCTTGGCCCCCGAGGACGGGGTGACGAAAGAGTCGTTTGCAGAGTACGACGAGGCCGGCCCCAATGAGAGGGATTCCGGGTATGGTGAAAATGTGGTGGTGCATGCCGTCGGACAGAACGGCGAGAACTTCTTGGTCAGTGTGCTGAAAGGCCAAGAGCTGGAGTCGGTGAGACTGGCAGAGGCATCCTTGAGAATCCGGGCCACGTAAAGGAGGCGTGAGTACCTGACCTCGGCCTTCTCTCGGGTAGGGTTTCTGGCGGAGTGAAGGCGGACAGCACCCAAATTTGTATTAGTATAATGTCATCGACGAATGTTTAGCTTGAAGCGGTGGAGCAGGAAAGCCCATGACGGCTCTTGCAGAACTGCAAAATCATATGATATCACAATTCAAGACAGACATTATGGACTTTGGGGAGTCAGGGTGTGTGATATCACCGGGACTCACCAGGACTCTGTAGTATCACCAGTAGGACCACCTGTAGATACCACCTGTAGTACCATCGGTGATCAGCTGTATGCATAGGTTACGTATCTAATTACTGTTCGTCAAGTCTCCTGTCGAGGTCAAAGGGGTACTGCTTCGGAACGGCGAAACAATGTTCCAGGCAGGCATCAAACCCGGCAGATCCCGGTGGACGGAGATGCAATCCCTTGCCTGCGCCTGCGCCTGCGCTGCCTCTTGTTCACCTACTAACTACTCTACTAATATCACTTGCTCTCTCTGGCTCCCTGCATGCCTCACACCACTTCTCACAAGACTCTCCATCACAGTTCCTCGCTACTCACTACTCACTACTCACTACACATACTACCTAGTGAAGTAGCGACTCGGCATGGAGCCTAGAACCCTGACATACCTGTTAGGTAATCATCTTTTCTCTTCTTCTATTTGTCACATGGCATCGCCTCCCAACCGAACGCTGGTGGTGATCCGGGGCGTTCCAGGCGCAGCCTCCCTATTGGACCCGTGCCTACTACCTCCTATCTAGGCTTTGGTCTGCCTTGTCGAAGAGCAAATCACGCCTGTGCTTGTGCTTGTGGCCGGTGGTGGCACAATACATACATGTACCTCTCTTATCACATCATTTGTGGCTGAAGAGGCCCTTAGCCTCACAAGATATCTCAGGCCTAAGCCAGCCATGATCAACCTTCAGACATTCAAATGAATTGCCTTGCCATTATCATAAGGCCCGTCATCACCACCGACACACCCTTCCCTTGATACAACTCCACCTCCTTGGTTTGTTGGCCTTATCATGTATATTCCCAGAGAACAGGCGTTCTTGCAACGTCCTGCGCCGCCAATCGCTTTCCCCTCCTATGACCCTCTCTCCCGTGACACGGAGACAGCTTTCTACTACTATTCCAGCCGCGTGGTCGGCACAAACGGGACCGCCGACCCAGAAAACGACGCGAGGGCGATCATTGTATCCGCAGCATTCATTTCCGTGACCGTGACATGTCTCAGCATATTCGCCCTGTTGTTTGGGTAAGCCGTGCCTTGACCGACGAAGACCCTAGGAAATGAAAATTGCACAAGCCTCGCCCTACTGACACCAGGCTACCGCAGGGTTGCGCTGTATAGAAGATGCACCGGCCGAGACGACCAGTCAGACACGTCGTCGGCAACGTCCGAGTCGGCATGGCACATCGACGGAACGGATGTCGTGGCAGACGACGACGTGGCCAAACGACACCGCCAGCGGCTGAAGAAGCTCGACCAGGTCGCGCCCCGCAAGTCGCTGCATGACTGGCGCGCCGAGAAGACCACCAGCCATGTGCAGACGTTCGCAACCGCCTCTCCCAAACTTATCTGATAAGTCAAACCCATGCACCATCCCTTTCCCCCTTGAATCAACATCACTGGGGTCAGTGATACTGCCTACGAAAACTAACATCCCCAGCACCGCTATCTGTCTCGACCTCATTGATGAGAAGGAGCAGGTGCGCGAGTTACAGTGCGGCCACGTCTACCACGCGAGTTGCTTGAACCTTTGGGTCGAGAGGGGCCATCACGACTGTCCGCTCTGCAAGTTCGACATTTTGGGCCTGAAGAAAAAACCCGCAAAAGCCCAGGACGCCGACCTGGAGCGGGGCGAGGCTGCCGAACCCGAACCCGAACACGACGAGCATGACCACAGACACGCACCAGTGTCTAACACTCAAGACGAAGCCGCACCACTACTTGGACCCGAGCATGCTAGAGCCCAAAGATGACGACTGTCCCGAGGCATTCGAGGCTCGAAGGGACCGTCACCCTCGAGGCAGGCCATCCACGTCGAGCATGTCGCACATATATTTCAGACAGGGATCCAACAGCCTCAGTCTCGATCATGTCGCCTCTACCATCCGGAATGCTCTGGCGACAGCTCGAATTCGAGTTCAGCTGATATCACACACAATCCCTGTGGCCATATCCAAGACGTCTGATGACGATTCACTGAGACGGAAGCCCTGAGACCTAGTATCAAAATAGACCGACGTGGAATCCCCCCAGTCTACCCGACTACCAATCGCTGGCGTGGACATGGTCGAAGATTCGTCTCACCGACTGTATGCTTTCAAGTCAGCACCGAGACTTGAACAGATCCGCAGCAAGAGGCAAGGATGTACGCATGGATCTTAGATACATGTTTCGCCACTTTGACACCGGCCCGGAACGACATCTGTCACCTGGGTCCCCTGATCGTCGATCCGATATCCGAGGTTTGAGATGCGGAATGTGCCTAATCTAGACTTAATTTCACGACCGCAACCACACTTAGCAGCGCCATCTCAACACGCTTCCCTGACCAGACCGAAGACAAGATCTCGAGTTGGGTTATGTGGAGGCCAAGGCTGCTGCTGTCGGACAACACCACCGTGTTGTTGGCCAACAACGTCTGTCAGAAGGAAGAATCACCCATGAATGAAACTGAAAATCAGGATAGGCTCTTGCAGGATAGGCTCTCTAATGTCTAGCTAGACGTTCGGGCCCGAACAACAAAGACAGAAAAAAGTCGACTATTATCTCGTGAGACTGGTGTCAGACCCAGTCAGTCAGTCATGCCGACTGCTTAGCAAAGTATCCATGTGATTTCAAACCGGCCAGGAGTTCTTCGACCATGGTTGAAGTATAAGAGCGTTCTTGTCAATCAGCACTTCTTTTCTAAACAACTGCTGGCTCGAGCTAGATGAACCTGAACCTGGTCGCTGACCTGTCACTCCAGTGCTTCGGGCAATAACCATCTAGCTCGGAACAGGTTTTACTGAACACGGCGGCCGGGCCGGTCCTTTTCACTACAGTACAGTCCAGTACCTTAGGTAGTCTCTACTGTCTAGTATCAACGACCCCGGTAGAAGGAAGGGGAGGCCTAAGGAGCCCAGTGGATGATCAATGCTTTTCTCTATCTCCCAACGGAAGGAATCGACTGTCTTCTTCCCCCGTCTGTGGCCGGACTAGGCTACGCTGCGCTGCGCACTGTGTTTCTATAATAATGATGATCAACATCGTCCATCGTCCATCGTCCACCGTCTGAGCTCCCTATCCAAGTCCTCAGCCGGGAGAGCTAGGTGCAGGACGCTTCAGCTTCAGAATCTCCGTTTCTTCCGGTCGAGCAGTTTGTGGGTGCCGCGGACGCTTCACGAGTCGCCAGTAACCTCATCGACCATCTTCCTGAATACCCTCTGTCGTTCACACTGCTCGAGGAAGACGGTATACTTGACTTCCAGGAGGGCCTTGACCGACTTGGTCTTTGTCGGCCGGACGATTTTGCCAGGCTTGCTCATGCGATCCATGATGCTCCAGAGATCCTCCGTCTTACCGGATGGGTCGGCGCTGGCGGCTTTGGCACCCAGCATGGCGGCGCCGTGACAGACGGCAGCATGGACGTAGCGGGGGATCAGCACCGGCATGTCGCAGGCCGTGGCGATCAGGGACATCAGAATGTCATTCTGGCACTGCGAACCGGACATGAAGATGGATGAGATCTTGTGGCCGGCTTCGTTCATGGTCGAAATGATCTGCAGCGTCTGCAGGGCGATGAACTCCATGGTGCCGTAGTAGTATAACGCCATGCCATCGAGCGACTTGTCCGACGACAGCCCCACGACGGAGCCAGACATGGTTGGGTCGGCGACGGGCGACCGGTTGCCGAATAGATCGCCATAGAAGAAGAAGTGGCGGCCCAGATGGCTGATGCTGGGCGCGTTGGCCTTCTCCTTCATATCCTCCAAATGCTGGTTCAGGAAGTCGTAGATGTTGCTTGAACTCGACTCCGAAATGGCCAAGGCCTGCTGGTACGCTGGGTGCGTTTCGAGGACGTGCTTCAGGAGCTCACCGGTCGCCGACTGGCCCCCTTCTGCCATCCAGTAGCCAGGGATAATGCTGTCCCTGTAAGGACCCCAGACTCCGGGAACGAAGACAGGGTCCTTGGACATGACCAGATGGCACGTCGACGTGCCTGCCACTGCGGCCAAACGAGTAAACGCCTGGGACTGGTCGTTGGCGGCCATGGAAGTGTCGAGCTGGTCCGACGACAGATTCACTTTGGCCCCGACGGTACCAATCCAACCTGCATATGCATCAATCACGCCGCTGCCCACAGCAATACCCGCGGGGAGGCCAAGCTCCGCCGCTGCTCGTTCGCAGAGGTGGCCTGCCAATTCACCGGCGGACAGGTACTCGCCATTCTGCAGGAAAAGTCAGTCAAGATCAACCCCACGTAGGATATCAGGCTCACCACCCCGTTGACGCCACCCATGCGCTTGAAATTGTCCTCGGCGAGATCCTCGAGTCCGATCTCCTTGAGGAAGTCTTCCTGCCAACCTTTGACGCTGCCATCTACGCCCACGGGCACGTAGCCCTGTTTACAAACGACCGAGCAGAAACTCCTCTTTTCATTGCCGGTGGCCAAGTGTTCGAGGGCGTCTGTGAGATCATAGAACTTGCAGCGGTCGAAGAGCTCTTTGGGCATGTTGTTCTTGAGCCACAGCACCTTGGGGATTTCCATCTCAATGCTCATGGTCCCGCCCACATACCGGAGCAGGTTGTGCTTGGTGGCATTGATCTTTTTCGTCTCCTCCACAGGCCGGTGGTCCAGCCACAGAACAACATTATGATCATTCCCTGATTGATCAAAGGTCGGGCCTGTCACGGACACGGGCTCGTCGGTGTCATGTGTGAAGACGGCCAGAGAGCAGGTCGCATCGAAGCCGATGCCGCGGATCGAGTGAGTGTCGATGTTGTTCTGGGTGATGGCGCGCTGGACCGATATACAGATGCAACGCCAGATGTCGTTTGTAGATTGTTCCTAAGGTGGAAATGCAGAGGTGAGCACAGAGGCTACCAGGGGTAGTCTACACATGATTCTCAACATACATAGTACCCTGTCTGGGGTTGCCACAGGCCAATGATTTCCGACGCAAGGCCGACAATGTCACCCGCTTCATTGATGATACACGCTCGCGCGCTGCCTGTGCCCACATCAATGCCAATGTAATGGTTCATCTGGACGTGGACTTCATTTCGGGAGTCCACCGAGTTTTGGCGGACGGGCGTGCGCAGGCCGCTGGCCGGGCCAGGTCGAAAGGGCATCGACGCCATTTCGAAGGGAGGAGGGGATGAACTGCTAGCAGCAAGGACCGAAAGGAAGTCTTTAGTAGTCCTAGGAGACAGACACAGACAAAGGGAAAGGGAGGTAGGGGATGGGGAAGGACTAGAAAATCAACATCCCCATGGGATCGACAAGTGCTGAGCGAGGAGATTACCGTACGGTGTGCAGTCTGCACGCACAGTGCACACAGCACACAGCCCAAGAAGCAAAGACACCACTATGTCATCTGAGTCTGAAGATCGACGTGGAGCAGCAAGCCAACACAGTGGGAGCCACAGTCGTCCATTGCCAATGGTCAAGGCCGCCGCCGGGTGGGTGGAAATATGGAACTGCAGCGGTGGAGGAAACCATCTACAACGCCGGATGGCCAGGATGGCCGGCATGGTGGGGGAAAAGGCGCAGTTGGCAACCTTGTCCGCATACCTAGCGAGGGGCAGCGCAGACGTATGTTTCATTCAACAACATTCTGCATGCTACGCAGGCTCCTCACCAAAAGCTCTATGCATGGTCACGTGTAGCTGAATGCCAACTGAGGACATCTCGATGGATATTTGCAGGTTGGTTGACAACTATTCATCTCATTGTTGAAGTTTCCTTGTCAACTTGGCTCGATCAGGACCAGCTTGGTCTTCTCAACATCGCCATATATCAGGCGCGCGCAGTTTCGAACCCCGCCCCATTCTTCTCCAGCCCAACTGTCTGGTCCCGGGAAGCTCGCCGTTGCGGCTCAAAGCTAATATATATACACATAGAAAAAACACATGCTGTGTCCACGTCAAGACTGCCATGGCAGGCCCTAGGCCGCGTGTCCCTTTCCCTTCGAAATCCGATGATCCTGATCCTACAGGTCTGTTCGCCAGACTGCAGTACTGTACCTCAAACTCCATCCTGTAACGCCGTCCTGCCGCTTTCGATTCCAGATTTTGTGCCATCGCGATCCCGCTCATCGAGCGTAGCCTTGTCATCACTGCGTGTCCAAGCCTTGCGAAAGGTCCAAAAAGTGAATTCTATCTGTCCGTGAGAAAAAGCAAAACGGTGCTGACGACGCACATTCGATCGATTATCGTACACGCCCAATCTGGAGTCAGCTCTCACTTGCCCTGGAGTTGCGCAAGCTGAGCGAGAACGTTGGAGACTGCAGAGGGAACGCTGGATGTCTCACTCGTTGAGGGTAAAACATTTTCGTTCGACAGGAGAGGTGAAGGAGGATGCCCACATTCGATCCGCGTTACCAAAGGGTGATACTCGGGTTCGGCATCTTGATGAGCATTTTCACCCACTGGAGCTCCAGAAAGTCCTCCTTGAGCTGATGACTGCTGCACAGTCTCTTCGCTTGATCGCAGATCCTTGACAGCAGTCTCGGGCATTATGGGCGAGGACTCGCCTTGCTCTAGGTCTTTCGTTCGATCTCCGTCGCCGCTGTCTAGGCCACCTTGTATTTGAGACTTCTCCACTGCTGGGGTGGACGCGGCACGTCGACTCATGTAGTCCCCCAGGCTGAGTTTCTTTCTCGCCGGACTTGGCGTCACCACGGAATTGGCCGGTAGCGAGTAATAGCTAGAAACCGCACTCATCAGCACCGGCGATTGGGTGGTATTGGATGTGGTCGAGGCGGGGGTGGTCACGGCGCCAGCCGATACCGACCCCGGGAAAGTAGGCACAGGGGGCAATGTCGTCAACTGTAGGCGAGGGGCCGACGGTGGGGTGAAGGACGGCAGTGTATGCGCTGCTTGCGAAGGCAAAGGGTAAGTGGTCGAGCCCACATTGATCGGGCTGTAGCCGCCCCTGGCCTCTTGCGCAGACGAAGCCGCAGGCCGGTCGTGGGCTTGCTCCAAGTTTGCATCCTTCATCTCGACGTCGTCGGCCGCCGACGTGGAGCCAGGCACGACAACATCGAGGCGATCTGACACGGGAGAAGTTTTGTATCGGCGCTCTTGTTCGTGCCTGGCCCGATCTTCCAACAGCCTTCTAAGCAACCTCTGGGTGGGTGTGCAAAACTTCCTCCTCTTTGGGGGTGGCACAGGCAACTCGGACTCCTCAGGCTCCGTCTGGACCGAAACATTAACATACACAGGTCGTACAACTTTGGGCTCAGATCGATTCGGTCCGTCCGTGGATTTAGCTCGACTCAGGGGTCCTCTGGGCGGTGGAGGAGAGCCCAGGGATGGGTCTGCCGACTTGGTCTGCCGCGCACTCGGTGTGGTCGGCTGCGAGGTAGGTGGAAGGCCCAGTTGCTTGGATACATTCGCACTAGGAGTGTTCAGTGTCGAACCGCCACTTGTACGCTTTTTCTTTCTCTGCTGGCCCTGTTCCTTGTGGTCCTTCTTTTCTTGTTCCCTCTGCGCAAAGGCTCTCTCGGCCATCTGGATCTTGCGTAGTTCCCGGGCGGTAAGGCCAGCGCCCAGCACGGGGTCAGCATCCAGAGCCGCCACATTCACCGGGGTGATATCTCGACTCGGTCCGCCACTGCGCGAGGATTCAGAAGTAGACCGTCGGTCGAAGTGATCATCGTCATCGAGTAACTTCGATTCGCTTCCTGCTCGACTGTTGGTGGCGCGTCCTGTGCTCAAAGGCGAGATGGCAGGTTTGATCTTACTTTTTTTCTTTCTTCCTCCCTTTTCCTTCGGCATTCCCTCTAGAGATTTGGGAGAGAATCTTCGATCGAACCCGGCGAGTAGGCAGGCCGACCCACCATCACAGGCACAGTCGCCAAAATTGGCGAGCACCCGGCTGACCCAGTCGAGGCGTCGACTCTGGGCTTGTTCAGAATCGTCTCGGACAGCGTCCACAGAAAACATTCCTGAATCCAGAAACCATGTGGTGGTGAGTTCTGCCCCGGCCTGAATATCTTTGCTGGCAACAAAGCAATGGTGAGTTTCATCGTCGTCCGAAACAAAGGTCTTCAGGGTCACGTTAGGCCGGCAGGACCGCCGCAAGTAACGAAACCGAGTCCCAGATTTCCTACTATCGATGTAGATGTCCATATGGGGGTGAAAGAACACAAAAGGATCTGGGTGTCTCAGCTCCTGCCACCTGTTCGAGGTATTTTTCTGCTGACAATACTCTTCCAACATGCCTACCTGGCCTCGGACCTCGCCGACGATCTCGTCTTTCTTGACAGACGTTTGTAGCCGTAGGAAGCGCCAAGTAGGGTATTTTCCCTCGTATTCGACATCGGTCTTGGTCATAGTCTCAACTGAGACGTCTGGCCAGGTATTCGGATCAAGCGGCCGATCCGTGCGCACGAAGGGCGATTTAGCTGTAGGTTGTTGTCCGGGGCCATTCACAACCAGAGACGAGTCAGTCCGCCACGCTGACAAGGCGTTAGCAGCTTGAATTGTTTGCTCATTGTCCTTGGCATTGGTGTTTCCTTGATCGCGATCGTACAGCTCGAGAAATTCGGTGGTATAGGTAGGAATGGCCGGGAAACGGAAAAGGTCTTGAGGAGACTTGGAAGGACTAGGGTAGGACTGAGCAGTGGAAGTGGCCCGTTTCCTGGATTCTCCATTTATCGAGACAATGGAGCCGGACGGGCGGTGGTTAGTCTTTGGCTTCTTTGTGGGAGGCCCATCTCTTGTATTGCCCACGGATTCGTGACGATCGAGCGCGTGCCAGCCATTAACCTGCTCAACGATCGCGCTACTCTCTTTGTGCTTCTTCTTTTGACTCTTTGAACTTGGTCTCTTGACTTTGCGGTCACCGCCATCGAGAGCCTCTCGATGTCTCCTCTGCCGATCGGTCGCCTTCTTTGCGTCAAGATCACGGGGGAAACAATCTGCGCAGAAATGCTCCTCTGGCACCTTTTTTCCGTGATAGTAGCATTCGATGTGCTGCCAGGTGTCGCACTTGGGACAGTAGACGGTATTTCCATCATCATCTGCATAGATACATATGCATTTGATGGTGTATTCCTCCTCGTCTTGAAGATTTGTGTCGGAAAGGGAGCCGTTGGGGAAGGGAGAGGCTAGAGAAGGAGCCGCGGTGACCGGATAGTGGTTCGGTATGGGATGCGTGGTGAGGAGGGAGGACTCTGTCATAATCTGACAGAGCACCTCCTCATCGATCGAGTTTTGCGGGTGATTATGTTCAGGATAGTCATAAACTTGTCGGTCGCATGTCGCGCATCGCTAGAGTAAAGCTGTTTCGAGGGCCAGTGGGCACGTTCAAAACATGCTCATGAGGATCGCGTGCGACTAGAAGTGAGGTGTAGAGTCTTGACGGCTTGCAAAAGCGTGTTTTGGCACGTTTTCCAGCGAGAAAGGTCTTTCAAGGAGGTAATCCGCGAAGTCGACGAGAGTGGCCACCTGCGCGCAGAGGACCAAAAAGGTGTCGCAAGAAAAGAAAATAACTCTGAACCGAGTGTATATGGGGGCAAGACGCCTTGAGAGGAAGAATCAAGGCTTCTTTGGCTGTCAAAGGGAGGATTTTCGACGTGGAGAGGTGCTGACTGGTTATGTCGAAGGAGGCGCCAGCAGAAGGGTGGATTGATTAGGCGAGGACAAGAGCCACGAAATGAAGTCGTAGGAGGCGACAAAAGGAGAGAGAATATCCGCCAGGCGTAGAACGATGATTTCGAAAGCGTACAGGAGGAAAAGGGAATCGTTGAAGAGGAGGAGGAGGAGGAGGAGGAGAAGGAGGATGCGATGAATGGCAAGAGAAGATGGAGGGACACAGACAAGGAATTGAACAGACTTCGAACACCCAGCAAGCGACGCAGCGCCAGATGCGGCACCCAAGCCCCCCAAGGACAGAAAGCAGCAAGATGCAACAACAGCGCTGGACTGGCCTGCGCTGCACTGCAGCAGCCAGCAGCCAGCAGCAGCCAACTGGCACTGGCACTGGCACTGGCAGTGGGCAGCCTGGCAGAGAGGGAACAGACCACGGCCAAAGGGCGAATGAGCTACCGGCTAGGGGGCGAAAGGGCGAGTTTTAGTGGCGTACTAGCGAACAAGGCCGGGAAAAGGGCAGTTTGGCAGGCTGCTCAGAGGGAAAAGGGCAGCTCAGGTCACTAGGCTGGGAGGAGAAAGGGCAGAGGGCCCCTAGACCCTTCAACTAGGATCAACTAGGAGCAGGAGCCACTCGAGGAGCCCAGCAGCCAGTCGCCATCCCTGTTTCTCAGTCCAAGTGGCACTACCAGCCCCGAGCGCCAGGATGCCCGTTCGCAACCTCACCAGTAGTCGCGACTGAACTGCCTCGTAGCAGGGCCTAAGGAGCCGCCCGTGGGCCCTAAACTTCGATGCCGGGCATGCCTGTAACATCATTGCACAATGCGCATCACCGATAAATCATCACTTAGGACCTCCCGGCTAGCCTGCAAAGAGCGCTGGTCTGCCCTCGCCGCCCATTCTGTCGCTTCTCTGACTCACCACTGGTAGGTTACTGGTGGGTTTGTTTGTGCTTCGACTTCGCTTTTCCGGCCGAATCCAGCCCGCCACAAATCAATCGTTATTTCCCTCGCCGCCTGCAATCCCCATTCTGTTGTGTGCGCACAGGCCATGCCCTCCTCCTTTCGCATGGCCCATTTCTCCTACTCATCTCCCTCTCTTCGTCCTCTTTCACACTTACACCATGTCTCTTCTTCATCAGTTCTAAAGTCACCTATTCTTCCGATCCGTACGACGGCTACATCATGATGGCCACGACGAAAACAATTGTTTCTATAGACGGGATCGGACACTCGCGCGCATGAGGGCCATCCGCCGGCTGCGGCGTCTGCCTAGATTCCCAGAGCAGGATGAGATTAGGGTGCTGTCGCACCGAGCGGGGTTTGAGACATGAAAGATCCTGCAACAATTCGCTCTTATTTTTGGCCAACCCGCCCTCATCTCGTCACCTACATGCGTTACGTTTCTCCTTATCAATCATTCACTCAATACGATGTACGAAGCTCGCCTACATGGAAGCTTCTGCTGCCGGTCCGACTCGACCTTCTCGATTCCTTCGTCGTACCCCAGCTTACGCTGCTTTCTGAATCTACCGTTGGCCTCTTCCATTGCAATTGACACTGGACCCTTCTACTGTCCTACGCGCTCTCTCTCTCTCTGCTAATATTTCCAGTTCCACCCCTCACCTGGCGAGCAAGCTTGATGTTCTCGAAATCACTCCATCGATAATCCTCTTGCTTGCGTTCGGCCTTGACTCGAGCTACCTCCTTCCCATCCTCGATTTTCCGTGTGTTCTTCTTGCAGGCAGTCTAGTCTGAAGGGATGAGCAGTATGCAGATATCCCTGTATGAATAGATGGAATCGATTTTAGAGCGCAGATGCTTAGGGCCATGGTCATTACTAGATAACGGCCTGAAAACAAAAGAGCGAAGCAGCGGAGGAGTAATTTCGTAGGGGGAATATAAGCGAACTAATATGATATTGTTGGCCTTTGTATCCTTGGCTATTGTTGTTAAATTCCAAAACGTATGATATATCCGTGATATCTCTGAATCTTGCACGCTTCAACTGCTAGGCCTCGTAGCCTTTGAGTCAGATGTATCTCGCGGGCTTGGACCAGGCGAAGAACTAGGACGACAGTGAGGATATAGTAGCGACAGTGAGGTCGATGACTAGACGTGTCTACTTGGTACTCACTGCGCCAATATTAAATATCAAATATCCAAGGTAAAGTTCATATATCAATGTCGATGACAAGGTCTACTCGATACTCATACTAGTACCTTGGATGAGTGGCGGCGATGTTCTGTTCTGCATAATATTATTGTTATTAGTTTGTGTAATTGGATAACTGCCAGTGGTGCACTAGTACATATGTAGACTAGACCACTTCGAACTGCCCAACGTCGGTGACATGAGATATGAGACTCGCGCCTCATGATTTATTATTTGCTTCGTCGACCGTCAGAGTATCCTCCGTACATGTAGGTAAGCCAACTAGCGACATCATGGGGCGAGACGATCATCTTCAAGTTGGTGTAGCTCAGGCACATTACATCGTACAAACTGGAATGCCCGGGAAGAGGAAGAGCTGGGAAATGGGAATTGGGAAATGGAAGAATTGGGAAGAACACTGGAGAGTGATGTGATGTGAGCGACACCAACAGTGGGATCGGGTACAACGACAGTGAGAAACCAGTAACGAAACCAGTCACAAGCATATTGGTCCTCTCCAAGCCGTTGCTCAAGGCAAAGGGAGTCATGGGAAACAGCAACGGTGAGGACATCAACGGCAACGATGGCAACAGCATGACAGCAACGGCAAGGACAGAGACGGCAATGAAGCAGAGGGGAGGATATCAACGGAGAGGATAGCAACGAGGAGGATATCTACGGTAAGGACGGCAACGGCAACGGTGAGGATAGTAACGGGGATGGCATCAATGGTAAGGACAGCAACAGTGAGGACATTGACGGCAAGAACAGCAACAGGAACGGCGAGGATAGCAACGGCAAAGGCAGCAACGGTAAGGAAGCGGCGGGAGGATATTAACGGTGAGAATAGCAACAGTGAGGACATCAACGATAATGGCAGTAACAGCAACAGTGAGGATGGCAATTGGGAGGGCATCAACGATGAGGATGGCAATAGGGAGGGCATCAACGGTAAGGGCGGCAACAGCAACAGTAAGGACGGCAATAAGAACACCAACGACAACACCAACGACAACACCAACGACAACACCAACGACAACACCAACGACAACACCAACGACAACACCAACGACAACACCAACGA